AAAACTTTTTATAGTTAAAAGTACAGCCATTACATGCATATACCTACTAAATGTCTAGCTAAATATTATGTGCACTTTCTATGAAGCAAAAAACCCAGGTTGTTTGCTTCACATTCCTTTAGCAAATATTCGAAAGTATGTAAAGTCAAAAGTCAAAAGCCAACTAAACCATAAATACGTCTTTTTATTATTAGAACGTCAAAATAGAATAGGTCTGTCAGTCTGCTCGTCAGTACAGCTATGTATGGCTTTTGATCGCGGTTGTAATTTTACTGATATTCTTTTTCAGTTAAGCTTTGCATAAATGTACAAAGAGACATACAATTTAAAACTTAAAATAAAAAAATTGTCAATACAAGATGATCTTTGCACTTCGTTTATTGCATGGAACTGGAATCGGAATGGAATGTTTGAGAAGAGGAGGATGAGATTCTCTGTATGAGAAGAAGAGTTCACATAGCAATAGAAAGCCTCCCAGTTTTTTCCCATCCTTGATCCCAAAATCTATAATTATCCTTAAATCCCTAACGATACACAATGGGGTCCACAATGCACTTGTAGTTAACTCCTTTAGTATTGAGTGTCCATGGGCGACGCCGTAGCGGATAGCTTACCATCAGGTAATTCGACTTCACATATATACCCTAAAAAAGGGTCTGATGATGACTAAGAACCCCGAAAGCAAGGCAATGTAGTAATTTGCTATACAACACTATATGCATATGCTCTATCCAGCATATTCTATAATCCCATGTTACATACGTCGCCAATGTAGGTAATAACGTAGAACAGAAAACAAACGTTTCTCTGGGAGTACATTTCAGTTACGTCGAAGGTTGGTCGTCGTGAGACTTACATAAAACAGGGAACTCGTAGATTGAGCTATTTATAGAAAAAAAAACAGACCAAGTTCGAGTTAGACAACCGCGCCGAGGGTTTCGAAAAAGTTACGTTAAAATGCTGTTTATTTATTGTAGGCAGATAAGTTTGATTTTATTACAGCATAAATATTGTTATAATAGTAAAATCGATTTATACAATAAAAATTATTGCGTTTGTTGTCATTTCCATCAAACTGATTTGTTCTTTGTTTCAACATAATCAGTATAAACCATGTGATAAAAGCAAGTCACTAACAATATTTTAAATTGTTTAAAAATAATACACACATTCCATATACTCTTTCAAGACAAAAAAGACTGAAAACGTTATAAGTGACGGTACTTTAACTGATCTGAATTCAAAAATCTTTGCTCGAAAGTCGCACTTATGACCATTCGACTAAGGATGTAGTCTTACAGTACGTAATCAAAGCAAAGTTATTGTCTGTGATCCCTTTCCACGTTTCTATGGTAACATTTATATACGACATCCCACTGTCCATTATTGACAATACAATTCAAAACTGGTCCCCGAAGTTTGGGCTTCATTAGCTTTATAGTTTGTGCCATAGTAACAGAGCAGATTTCCACATGATTTCTCGATTTTTTCTTTAATTTTACACAAGATTTGCCATCTGTAAATAGACTTAAATTGGGGTTGTGAGTGAAGCGCAATGATGTCTTGAGGCTCGACTTAGAGCCGATAAAACGGGTATTTTTTTAGTCAGAAAGAGTCTGACTCTCCCTCTCGCCTCATCCAGGGTGTAAGAAGATTTTGAATAATAAACTCCTAAAATTACTAATATGATTTGTATTTTGTTGCTCTTTGTCAAATGTAGAGGCAGTTAAAAAACGTTGCAATAATGTTTCTGCGCTGATGGAGGCCATAGCGACAATAGCCGGTAATACAAGTTATATGACATTATATGATTTTCAACAAAGTCATATCAATACTAAACTGTTATTATTGGTCAGCTTACTAGCCTATTAATTGTTATTTTTATTAATGGTATACTGAAATTAATCTTTATTTTCTTAACTGCCTTTCATTTGACTGGCGACTGTACCTAACAATATTTATAGTCCAACACAATGGATTAATAAAGACCAAAATTAATATCAGATTCTTTGAGAAGACCTAGGTTTCGAATCCTCATGTTGAAATACAGGACAGGCGACAACTCGATCCTTGAACCATTCAAAGGTACCGTTATACTTAAAACTATTATGTAAATGACGAAGAATTGTATCCCTGTTTAAGGGGCTGGTGTTTGTGATGAACTATGGCAAATTGGTTTTCGGCAGAGCTGGATAATTACGCACGCTCTCATGTGTCGAACACTGTTACAGACTATTTCAGCCATTGTTATGTCGACCCATGTTTGATAAAAACAAAATTAACTCATAAAAGAGGGTATTTCTAAATTGAACCTTGTTATTGAATCATTATTTTCCACATTCAAATACCTTATTTTTTAAGTAAGGCCTCTTTTTATTAACTACTAGCTCTTCTCGCGCAGTTTCACCCGCTGCTCGACTCTATTTAATCGTAGCTTGATGTTTTATAGCCTCTAGCACTCAGGAATATTGTAGCCATCTATCAGTGAAAGAATTTTGGAAATCCGACCAGCGGTTCCAAAGATTACCGTCTACATACAAACTTACAAACTTGCAACCTCTTTATAATATTAGTATAGATACGAACTGCAGACGTAACAGATAAGACGTAAAAAGTATCTAAGTACTTAATTATAAAATATCGGGAAGGAAAAGAAGAATGCTATGAAGAAACACAACTTATATTTCAATCAAATATATTCAAATGTCACTTATCTTGAAACATACTCGTATATCTAAAATATAAAATAGATGTAACTAAAGAACACAATACATTATCAATTATAATCAGTCATTCGATCACTCAACATTTTATAGATACTATTTAAACTAATATATTAATTAGTACCATTAAATTTTATAAATACAATATTGGAATGGATATAGTAAGAAACAGTGTGATATAGAATATTGAGTAAGAATTACTAAGGCAGTTTTATCAATGTAAAAATTAAATGGAAAACAAAAACTGACCGTTATGTCTAGTTATGTCAAAACCACTTGACGTTTAATTGGTCCCATACGCAATGGCGGGTGTTCGTGGCTCTATTTATTCCATAGACAATTTTCAAAATAGCCTTGTTCAATAAATTGTTGCTGCCAGTGCATACGGCCGCAGTGAATATTATTTTAACTTTCGAATAAAAATTTAAAACTAGAACGTAGGACATAGTCCATTCGAAAATTAAAACGAACTCGTTATTATGGCACTGTTTTTGTTTTAGGCATATTGGCTTTTGTGCCAGCCTCAATTACTTAGTAACCTTCACTGTGGAAACGTTTGCATCCCTAAAAACTTACAAACTTGTTTACTGCCCAGAGAAAATAAGTGCTAGGAGCTACTCGGTTCAATAGACCGTGAGTTCAATACTTTGTAACACAAAATATTTGGTCGCTGTATGCAGTACGAACTACTTACTTACTTAAGCTAAATAAAACTATCACTTAAAACAAATTTATACTAGGAAATGCACAGTTACAATATCGTCACGTTGCAAAAACACTTTCGTTAATTTGTAAAACAGTCATGCGCTTTGTTCGTTAGTTAACTCGAGGTCATAAAATTATATCTAGGTTTAATTAATACTGCGATACAATATAATTAACAGTAATATTAAAAAAAATAACTAAAAAAATTATAACAAAAAAAAACAAGTCTTCGAATTTACCGGCAGTATTTTTGTGAGAGATATTTTGTTACGACTACATAAGAAAGTTTTATACCTTTAATGGGATCAATACGTAATATTTTTTATGATATCGCACCTATATTTATTTATTTATTGTTATAAATATAAGTAGACACTAGACGACAGCAATTACGATGGAACTAGGTATGTTTATTACCGCTCGTGTTCTGGTATTTTCTTTTCGTTTGATTTCCTTTATGGCCTCCCTTTTTCCTTAGTTCCGTTAGGGCTTTATGCTGTCTCATTATACGTACGTAGAAGCATTCTTGTAAATAAAGGCCACGTTCACACTATGCGTACGTGATGTCCCTTCCTCTTTTGTACGAAATATAAATCGTACTGTACTCACGACATTCAACACTCCCGCATCCAAATGGAATGTTTCGTGTGAATATGGCCTTACAACAGCTGATTCTACCCTGACTGCTTGCGAGAAATATCACTAATAGTAATGTATATTAAAAATCTAACAGAATCATGTTCAAAGGCCTTCGGAGGGACAACTTGTCGTAGTGGTATATATTCCAGCTTACCATCTCCAAAGTTACTATTTCAATCATGATTATTAGCGTTGAGATCACTGAAACTACATTACGAACTTATTGCACAGTAAAATCGTGCCTAAATCAAACACCGGGACAGCACCATCGATTTACTACTATAATCGAGCAGGCACTCGTATTTTCAGCGTCATTAGGTTGATATTTCAATGTCGTAGCGTTAAAATCTTACTATTTACGTACTTCGTATGAATTGTAATAATGAATTGCACTATAAGCTATGTGTACGCTGTTTAAAAGACTCGTCCCTCTCTTCGTGAGTTTGAACTAAAATTAAGTTAATTAATTTCCATTAAGATTACGATCAAGTAAACCTAGCAATAATTAGCGAGTATGAATAAATTATCACGTGACTAAATTAGTTCTAAGTACTTGTATCCAATTTGTTCTCGTAGAAGCCTTATTTTCTCCGGAGAAATCGGTTCTCCGGTTACTTTCCCTAATTACCTACCTACTAAAATTATTAATAAGGTTAATATGTACCAAACTCTTAAGTAATTGTCGTGTATTAAGAAAGTATTAGAGTTAAAACGTGAACACAAATAGTAATTAGAGTTTGAAGCTGCGATTTAGGATCGTTGTCACCCGACAAACGTGTCGTCGGATTACAGGATTTTCCGACCTTGTGTATGCTGCTAACGTCTTCGCATTTACTGCTACGACGCTACTTAAACTCTTGTTGATCCCGTAAAATGACGTCAAATTACGTTCTTAAAGCAAACTTTTAAACAGCGTACACATTATGTTGAACATTATAGCAACGTGTGCTTATTGACTAAGATCTTTCTTCTAGTGAAGCGTAAAGGGATGAGCCGTCGTTTCTTCTTAGCACCCAATTGCTGGAGCAGATTCTTGGCTTCGGCGAGGGTGGCTGCGTCAGCCCCGTCTTCGACACCGGAGATGAAGCCGCTCTCAGGCCGCGACAGGGCAGGTGTGTTGGCGGGAAGGAGAGAGAACCATCGGTCTATCTTTGCAGACGAGGACAACTATTGTATAAAAAATAAAATAACAATTAGACATATAATACAGGCATGGGAGAACGAACATGACATCATAAAAACAAACATTAATTAATTTTAGCATATCGCTGTTATTTTTACAACGTTTATGAAAATTCGCTAAGCACGATCGCAGTGTTACGCCATTCGAATTGTTTGAATAAGAATGTTTTTACATATAATTGGCATGTGCTTCGTATTTCCCCAATAAATTCATTTATTTGCCCTGTAAACAAAAATTAAATGAAGCATAGAGATTGGTTTAAATTGTGATAAATTCACGTTGTTCACTCCGTGTTTTAACCTTTTTTTCTGTATTTAATAATACTAAAAATGGACGATTTTATAAGTAGGTTTAGCATGTTTAAAAATATATTTTCTCTCAGTAAGCTAATAGAAATTTCTAAGGCGTTCGTAGTGCTAGATCCAGTCAGCTTTAATATTGGTTGTACCCATAGTAATTTTGAAAATTATTGTTATTTTTCTTTCAATATATATAAAAGGATGTCGTGTTTAGTTTAGTTAAACAATTTAGAACTCAAGAACGGCTGATCTAATTTCGATTATAATTGGTGGAGATGATGCTTGAAACCAGAAGAACATACGATGGTAGACGGTAGAGTGGAATAATAGGTAGGTAGATTTTTTTATTAGGAAAAAATCATCACATTTCTTCTTCCGTCCAAGGCCTCCACCTGCTCTAAAACGAGGCCGCAGTGCCCAATTATTGCGCCGCAACCCCGGTATATGGTGTAGTGTTAGTACGTAGCTAGGTATTGTGGTGTAGGCAGTTAAATGACGGGAGCGAAGCCGCGGACAAAAGCTAGTATTTCATAAAGAAGACCGTTTCATAAAAACAAATGAGTACCTAGATAATAAAGGTACCCTTGTGTTACGGCAATATTTTATTTTGCTATAAGATAAGCACGTGCTAAAAAAGTTAGAAAAGTTGCTGCGTCTAGAAAAGTTATCTCAACAAGTTGTCAAAAAAAAAACAAATTAAACCTCATTTAATTGCTGTTACGGAATTGGCTGGCATATTTTGCTGTTTATAACTCAGTAGTGAAAGATCATCCAATTCAAAGATTATTAATATTATATCTTGTAAAACCATCGTGAGACAGATGTATATCATTTAGCAGCCTATAAGTATCCACTGACTTGATAAAAGGCCTTTTCTAATACATAGAGTTTTTGCATTAGTCACCACGCTTGCTCAAGGCGGATTGGTGATTACAAACATTATATATATCATTAACTTATATCGTATAATTCCACGTTTCATCACCATGTTTTCTTTGTGGGTCGATTGTGTGTAATAAATCTTAGAAAGTACATGTAACTGGAAAAAGTCTCATAGGTACTATCCAGGTTTCCAGCCCGCACTCTCTCTTAACCTCCAGACCACTACCGTATTTGGAGTTGGAATATCGTAATATGAATATTTGTATTGATTGTTGACGTTCTTTTATTAAAAAAAAAACGATAATTAACTACGTTCAGTCGTTTAATATGTTAGTCATCATCTTTCGTCATTTAGTCTCAAAGACGAGAGAGCTGAGAGTTCACCTGTATTTTTATTAAAGTCATATCTTTAAATTTAAATCTTCAAATTAAAGTCATTTCTTTTATCTTTATAAATAACAATCATCCTATATTTTTAACCAATTACCAATAACCAACGAAGCAGTGAAATTGAAGTTTCTGTGTCTTGTTAATGCTGAACGAAAAAGTTTTAATACTGCTTACATTCGATTTTCTTTCAAAGCAAAGTCTTCCCCTGTATTTGATATTGACATATTGACAGTTATTATTGTTTCTAGCATACTTTCTTCTTTGGAACTTAGATGGAATAATATTAAAAGTTTCGTCCATGTGCATGAAGTTTCGTTTGCACCTATCGTAAACTTGGCGTAGGAAGTTCCTTTTAAACAATACGAAATCTTGAACATAATATGGAATCCATTTGCTTTGTGGAACTGTATAAAATTTTCTTTCAACGTCCTATATTTTAATACCATTAACGAAAAACGAGTTGATGGATTTGGCAGCGGAGACCTCTTGCGTCCGGCCGTAGTCGAGGCCATGGTGCGGAGCAAGAAAACTGGAATGCCGTCTCCTCTTTCTAAGAAGTAGTGCTTGCAAAGAAAGAGGGGACGCAAAAGGGGACTGTCATATAAAAAAAACAACCTTTCACATTTAGACATTATATCAAAAACTAAACTCACTACTCTAAGGAGAAATATCGACATGAACTCAAAGGGCAGTTTCTTTTAAAGTCTAGATACCTATATATGTTTAAATAGTGTGGCTAATTATTCTAGTAGTCATTAGTTACGTCTCTTCAGCATTCATTCAACCGGTTTCTCCATACTTCTACAATGCATAAGAAGGTATACAATATATGTACATCCTGCCTGTTAATCTGGCTGAACGTCAAACAGAACACTAACCAATTTTGAATAGGAATTGTTTGAGTTGTTTTATAAAAAGAAGCTTGAAGTTTTTATGTTTTCGGGTTTTCGGCTTACTCACGTAATAATTTCGCGTAGCATTCCGCGACACGCGACGCGGCGACTGTAGCGCTGCTACATGCTACTCATGAATATGGGCCTCTAGCATGGCTTTAAACTAGTAAAGTATCTCGTCAAATTGTTACGTGAGTAAGCCGAAAACATAATAATTAATTTACAATATCTCACGAAAGTTATAATAAAAATAAAGTAAGTTTTTACCTAAATTTCCAATTTAAGCAACAGAATATTTTGGTAGTTTGACTGAATGATATGTTTATATATCCGTTGATAGACAAATTTTAGTAACAATATGTTACTATGTAAGTACTAATATTATACACGTTTATGTCTCAGAGTAGATTAAGAAAATATTTGCTCGAGGTAACTTTGGCACGTGGGTAGGTCCCAGCTGTTTCTTAATCAACGGCTATGTAGTACGGTTTTGATTACATCTCGAGGCTAATGGATTTCATAAGAGAATAAACAATATTAATGTAAGAATAATGACTATAGCTAGTTTTGTTACAATAACCATGTTCAATGTATACAGTTTTGTGAATGTAATGTGTTTTGTGTATATTATTTCAGTACATTGATTATGTGTAATGTTTTTGTGAGTGTGTTGTGCCTGTATTGCCTCGAAGGCATAGGCAGAAATGTGTAATATGTGTTTCGTATGAGGTTATGTTAGTTAGAGATATCATCAATATTGCTTTTTCGCATAGAAATGGTACTCTTTTGAGGCTCCTGTTCGTCTAACTGCCGTACCTTATTTAACAGGACAGCTAGATAAAAGGAATTTTCTTAGATGATTTGCTGTAATAAATTTAGTTTCAAGAAAAAAAAATTCGGTATCCCCATGTGATCTGTCATGTTTTTTTTGCAATGTGTTTAAAAATGAAGAAACCTTTTCAAAATATATTCAGTGCAAGTCGCACTTAGCAAGATTTTATTCAAGTCATTACCTACTATCCAAGGAACAGCAAACATATTTATATTCCGTTGTCATCAAAAAGAAAAATAAAACATATTTATGTTATCATTTGCTCGGCGTGAATTCTGACTTCGCACTTCTGTAGGCAAGTAATTTTTATTAAAAACTGACAATTCGCTAAAGCGCTAAGCCAGCAAAAAGTATTTTTTGTTTTTTCATCGAAAATCCTAAGCTCGTGTTTTCATATTAAATCCCGCTAGCGAGCGGCCGATGAAAATAGGTACCGTATTGAGTATCATAGCCATAGCTAATCATGTAAAATAATGTAATAATATGTAGGTACTAAGCGGATTCAATTTCAAACAAGAGGTGGATAGTATGACCTGAAGCCTCTGACACAGCATTATAATTTTAATAAACATATATGTGGATTGTTGACTAAGTCGATTTTCCCACAACGTTACTTTATTTCTTCTCTTAAAAGACCCAAATATGGCCTTGGGACTCGATGTGATTTGGACTCCTCTTAATACTTGTTACATAGTAAGACTAAAATAGGAAGTTTCCTTGACTATACTTTATTTAGTCCAGGTTGCAGGTGCAAGCCCAATTATGCACCGCGGCCTCGATCGCAGCAACAGAAGGAACGGAAGCGTTTTTAGTCAGTAAGAGACGCCGGTATAAGTTGTTGGACGATTTCCCCTTTCAAAATAAACCTTCAATGTTATAGACCAACCATTATAGTTGCTCCAACCAAAACAACTGTGATTAATTTAAGTTAGGTACATCTAAAACAAATCTTGTTAAAATTTTATCATACGTAGTAGAATGTAGGTACGTATATATATCCCTACATAGGTTTTTCATACATCTAAGGACTGTTAATACAATCTATACTAAAATATGCTTAAAGCTAAAGAGTATGTTTGTATGAAGTTGCCAATCTTCGGAACTACTGGTTCGAATTAAATAATACTTTTTGTTTTGTATAGACCGTTTATCGAAAAAGGCTACTCGACGATGAACGAGCAACGGGTACGCGGGACTATCGAGTGATAAATATTTCTTGCACGTAATCCACTGTCTACGCTTTACCAAAGCAAATAATTTATGATGTTAGCCAATACAGTTTTACGATGAATACTCCTATTTCTAATTCTGAAATTTGTTTTCAACAGACTTGTGAGTGTACACAATCAATGGACGATAGACGCGGCCAATCGTAAACACATTAATCCCATTGTCTATAAACAAAGGGAAACGGTGCGGAATTGTATATGCAGCCAAGAAAAACGTAAGTAAGCTCTATTTGAAACATAAAGATGATGAAAATGACTGCACGTGGTTGCTGGGCAACTAGTTGCCATGCAACGTGTCGCGGGTTAGATTCCCGCACGGAACAATTTTGTGTGATCCACAAATTGTTGTTCCGGGTCTGGGTGTGATGTGTATTTGAAATAGTATGTTTGTAAAGGCACACACGACACAGCTGCAAATCCTAGTGTGGGGCCACGTTTTTTTTTTTTGGTAAGGGAAAAAAAAATGAAGATACGTAGTGTTTTTTTTTTGATATGACGTAGTTGTTTGACTATTGATAGTAGGTATTTGTTGGGGAAAATAGTAGACTATTCTTCTCAAAGCCAACACGCTGCGGTGGACTCTCCGGTTGTTAGATTCCGCGTGACGTTCTCTGGTCACCGTAAGCGACTAGAAGCCCGTAACCCGAGGGTATCGTTCTCTGCATTATGCACGCACTTCAAATACCTATCAGACTCTCACAGATTAGCGGGTGCCACTGTAATATCCTTTATGGTAATAATGTATTGGGTCTGGAGCAGGAGAAGGATCGGGGTGTAATAGTAACGTTAATATTAACGTTTTCAGGGAAGTGATCGGCGGCGGCGACCTCTCGCGCCCGGCCTTAGTCGAGGCCATGGTGCGGAGTGAGAGGAACTGGGACGCCGTCTCCTCCTTTTGTGAAGCAGTCATGCTCGCAAAGAGAGAGGCGGCCCGCGTGAGGGAGCAATCCTCCTCCTCACGCCCCAGCAGCCGCAACTGGCGACACTACGGGCGTCGGGGATCGAGGGACGATCTCCGGCCACCGTAAGTACGGGCCTGCGGTCGGCGAGTAAGGGCAGCTCGCCGCCCGACCAGAACCAGGCCCGAGCGTACGGCGCGTAGCGTTCCGCGCGCGCCTCAAAGAGCCAATAGACCACCACAGACGGGGCCCTAAAGGGCTGATGTTCAGCCGGGGTTGCGGGGTAAGCGCAATAAGGTACCGCGACCTCGGCACAGAGCAGGAGAAGGAACAGGGGGGTTTTTAGTCAGTAAGAGTCTGACACTCCCTCCTGCCCGGCCCTGGGCGGGAGAAGTCATTTGATGATTTTCCCCTCACAAAAAAAAAAAAAAAAAAAATATTAACGTTTTCATCGACGAAAGCACTTCGAAGACATCCTTCACATTTTGTCATAGATTATTTGTATTAGCCTGTAAATCTACGTAAAAGTATTTTTCATTGATATAAGTATTAATTAAGCTTGTGTTCCTTCGGATATTGCCTTTTTCGTAGGTAATTAATTAGGTGTATCGTCTCAATTCATTCATTCTGTTTTTAATGACATCAATATTTCAATAGAAGGGCAATTTTTCTTTGGTTGATATGACCCTTGAGGCCATATTAACAATCCGATTGGAAGGTACCAAATATACATATATATATATATATCTGCATACTGCATTGAAATTAGTGTGCCCAACCATTGCTAGTTAGATTTCCAGCTCAACATACTAATTAGAGCGAATTAGCAACATACTGCTGCACCGCTCGCGGAAATCACTTCAAAAGCTAGTTCGAAAACTAAACTTATCTGCATTTATAACTTCGTATATATTTGTTCATATTATTTTTTATTAAATTTTAAATAAAATATTTGTTTTTTGTACAAATACAATTGTCATCCTGTCAATTTCAATTTTTATTTAATTGTAACAGTTCAATAGAGGAAAATCTTTTATTTTTTAGGTCTTCTGCAGTTTTCAGTTTAATTTTTAATTGCCGAATATTTATGCAATAAATATAAATATTTAATTCAAATATAAATATTACATTTATTAATTAATTTAATATGTGCATTTAAAAATGAGATCATTTTGCAATACAAACTGATTTCCCTGAAGTTTTATATAGTAAAGTTCATTAGTTTTGCAAAAACAAATGTTTCTTGCTTGTGGTTGTGATCTATAAAGTACATTATATAAATAGTGTCTCAGGGTTGTAAAAAGAAACAGAACGGGAGCACATTAAAACAACAATAGGTTTCGGGTTAAGCAGGTGCTATTTAATGATATTATGGAATGATAGAACAATACGGATCACATTGCTATTTTTCGTTTAGAATGGTTTTGTGGGTCGGCAGGTGTAGGTTACAATAAGTCCAAAACTGCATCTAAATCGTAGTAAATACGGATAAACATATTCTACTCACTGATTACATATTTAGACATTTATATTGAACATTGAATTGTTTGATCGAAACATTGACATCGCTGCTAATTAATTTTAATAATCATCATGTATGTATAATCTATAAACACATATATTTTTTTGGATTTTCATCTTTTTTTTTACGGAGAAAATGACTATTTATTATTTATTCCTTAAAATTATTGATTACAGGATACAATTTCTAGAAACATGGATAAATTGATTTATTCACATTGAATAATTCCAGAATAAGCTCACATACATATATATGTAGAGTTTACTTTAATGATTATCATAGTTAAGTGTACGTGAATACAACAGTACATTCATAAAGTGTAAAGCTAAGGGGTGGCAGTTCTGTAAGACAGGGGATTAGATAGGATCCGGTAAAAAGCACGACAGTCTTGATATCAGGGCACATTGCCAAGATAATTTGGCGCACTAGTACAACGCACCGATCATTCTGTGCCCCGCGACACCCCTAACTCTGTTATCATAAACCAATCTTACCAATGTCAATGTTCCTCTTGCGTTTTCATTTACTTACATAGCAGACTGCTTTATTATCATCTCATCTTATATAAAATTCTTTTATACGGTGTGGATTGTATGAAACATCATTCCTTCCTCCTAATCCACACCGTTACGCTTAAGTTACATGCACCATGCCCAAATATAACAATAGTATATTGACTAGATCGTTGAATTAATATTAAAAATAATGCGGTTATTGACTAGAAGACATTTCAACAATTATATTCTTATTCTAGTGAAGGCGTTGGCCAGCCAACGCCTCGTGGAATCCCAGTCACCATATTATCTGATCGACGATGGATCTCACTTATTCATTTTATATGAATTCGTTTTATTTTATTTTACTATAATTATCGGCTGACGTCAGTAAGCCAAGAAGGCGTCTTTTACAATTTTAATTGTGATTAAAATTATACATAACATTTACAGACACAAAATATAATTTTGGTCCATATAAAATTTTTGGTAAAGTTTTTAATATTGTTAATTTTATTTAATTGTCTACAAGTTACTTTGTAAGTATCATTAATCATTCTTTTGGAATCTTTGACTCACGCTTTGCATTCTTAATACTTAATTTAATATTCACCTTTCCATGAAATGTATGATTCTTTAAAAAGTGATCGTGGAAAACATCTGACCGTCTTTTAGGAGCAAGCTTGAGAATCTATTACGACAAGAACTGACTAATACTCCATATTACATATAATAAACATTGTATTGAATATCTTTAAACTTACATTAAACACGAATATATTGAAATACGTTGAATATACCGCAACTAATCATGCATAAACACGGAAAAACTATCAACAATAATTATCAATATCACGCAACATTTATAACGCTATTGACATCAATTAATTGCAATATTGTAAGTAAAACGTGACATCAGAAAACTCTAAGTACATTTAGTAAAGTATAAGTCCAATAACTATTCTGCGACTAACATGAATGCTTGCAATCTCAATATCTATGAAGCGGAGCGTTACAATATCAAATTAATAATATTCATCAATTAGTTTATGTCTTCTAAAATATTATACGATTACCACAAGGACTACATAAATCGTCGAAAGTATAAAATCCTTGCTATAGTAGACTATTACATTTTTATGGATGTTTGAGAGCATAAATATCGGCGTATAACTTGCACTTCATACTGTAACGATATGGCTCATAAAACTAAAACCTATACTTTAATGGCGATATGATAAAGGATATGTACTGCCACTCACAAGTTTTATAATAAAAATAATAGCAGTGTACAAAGAAGATGATATGTAAATAAATGTATATCTTCATCGTTTCCCAACCGTTTATCGCCATTGATGTATTAGTACATGTGGCATAACTTTGGCACCATCGTAAGTCTCAATCCTCAAACAAGAGTACTATCTACCCTAAAAAAATACAAAACAATACTATACATACAAAATATACCTACACTCTTTGTACAAAAATGATCAAAATTAGATGTAAATACTATAGAAGATACTACTTAATATAAATAAGGGTTTAGGTAACTTGACTCAGATTGTCGTGGTTTCAGTGCGAGTTTATTTCGTAGTGTGGCGGGTCCACTGGGCCCTCAGAGCCGTCATCATCTCGCTTCGATTTGGCACCTTCTCGCTCGTGGTGCGAGTGATGGGCGCCGCTGGGGCTAGCAGTGTTCCTGGACGCTCTTGACCGGGTACTCGCAAAGTATGCCCAGATGAGCTTGAAGGCTGAGGTTCTGCCTGTGGCTCTCCAACTTCAGATGTGCTTTCTGAAGGGCTCACTGGCACGATAAGCCTAACCCGTCCGTCCTCACCGGTAGCCGTTAAAGTGCAGTTGTGCGATAGTGGCATTATGAACGGAGCTCCGTCTTCCGAGCTAGAGCCATCTGGGCTCGAATCTTTCGATGAACTCTGCTGGCTATTACTGTACAGTGAGTTTTCGGACTGGGCAACACTCATGGCTTGCGCTAACTGTCCAAATTCCTCAGTGGAACCACCTATGTCCTTGTAGCCCTGTTGGTTTAGCAGGTTCGCCAAATCGGTATTACTGTAGTGACTCGTCAGCGGCGGAATGCTCGGGAAAGCATTGCAGTTTTGAAAGAACTGCTGGTTGTAGTTTATTGTAGGAGCTGGCTTATTTGTCGCCTCGCCACCATTAGGAAAGCCTCCCATGTTCTGGAACTTCGATATCAAGTAATTCTGGATTTGCTCGTTGGTCATACCACCAAAGCAAGGGGGAGCTGAAGCAACGCTATTAGTCTCTTGGACTGGAGATACGCAAAATGGCGAGAAATTCATGTTATTATTATTATTCTCTAAGTTTTGATTAGCTCTGGTGTTCTGAGAAATCAAGTTGATAAGAGCCTCGGTGTTAGTTGGCGAGCGGTTGCCGTTGCACGTTGGTGCGTTGTCCGGCTTGAAGGCTTCTGCATTTTTCTGGATCTAGTTAACAGATGATAATTGTTAATAATTTACGTCAGAGAGTATAACGATTAAAATAGCTATTGAGTAAATAAAAAAGCGTTTAAAATGTTAAAAACAAATTCACTAAAATACTCACAAAATTATAATAACATCAACAAGCCACAAACATGCGACATTATTGTACGGGATGATAACAGCGAAGCTAAAAGTGAAGAAATATCACGTAGGTAGGTATGCACGATACGAATAATATGCAAATCGTGTGTGAATGTTCAAATGATTGTGGTTAAACGCGTAGTAATAAATTAAAACAAATTTACAAATCTGCGGTAACAGCGCAGCGGAATAAAATTTTAACGTAGGTTAGGATAGGACAGACAGTGACAAATGGCATGTCAATCTATGGAGATTAGCGGTGAGAAACGAATGTTCACATTTGCTATGTACCTAACAAACAAGCCGATCTCGTATTTACAGTACACTAGCTAAACATGTTAATGCAATATATGATCTAGTTTTTGAAATGGAAACGTGAAAGCTAACACATTTTACTCCGAATTTAAAAAAAAATATGAACAAAGACCATTTTTAGAACACTGTGTTTAAAAAATTATTGTTTGATATAAATCAATTCGAGATGAATTAGTTATTAAAATATGAAATAACATGCCTAATGCAAATTTAAATGCAATTTTGAATTATTTATTAATTAAGCGGTAATAATATTTTCTCTAAGTAAACAGTGTACGTTTCCAAATAATAGGTATATGTCTACAAGCGTTGTTCGTTTACACTAGTAACTAAGTACTGTAGTCTGTAATGAGTTCAATATGTTAATGAATAGTGTTTTAAAAGAGTGAAATAATTAAACATTAACAAAGTCAGAATCACAACTAATGGTAAAAAAACTTATCACTAGAGAAGCGGGTCTCATAAAATAGGGTTAAGAAAAAAATATATAAATTTTATTCACAATATAAATTGGCAAATAAATCATAGTTATTTGACCTATTTTATAAAACCTCGCTTTCAGTGACATAGAAGAAACACTTAAAATAAAATACGAAATGCACATGCCTTTTGAATATGCAAAAAAATACATTAGCAGAGGTCTCTAAAGGGCGATCAATGCATTAAAAACGCTATAGCTAACTAGTTGTTTATTTTATTTAAAAAGATCTTGAATTTTATTATAAAATAAATTATTCACTAATTTGCTATAGCAGTTAAGTACACGCATATCTTTGGTAGACAGTCACGTCGCAAATTTTTCCGTTAAATCCGACTTCAAAATTTTATTTTGTAGTTACTTAATAAAACATTTTCGAATATAACATGTATATATGTGCGTGTACTTTAAAAACGCATATCATGAAAAAAATATTATACTAAAGTTCTAAAACATAACATTACGCATTGTAGATATGATGCATTTCTAAAGGATAATGGTTTGTCCACATTTGGTAAAATGTATCGAATGTGTACGCACCGAACTGTAGCATTCATTTGATATGATGTTATGTTACATTTTGGTTTTTATTTCTTTGCGGTTATTTGTTACATAGAACTTTTCGTACCTGGGGCAAGAGCGTCAGTTGCTGAGCACTGATTGGTCGAGAAGAGCCGCGCTCTCGATCTTGCAAGTGGGCAACTAGAGCCGCAATGTGCTCAAGGAGTTCCTTGTTATGCACTAACAGCTGATGTGTGCGAGCCTGAAAAGGTCACAGAAAATTTAATAAATTTGATGAATCATGATTATTGGGTACTAAAGTGGTGGGATTTCTGTTGTAACATTGCCTTAGCTCATAAAGATTAGTTTCAAATATATTGACAAAGAAAGTCGTCAATCCAGTTTTTGAGAAATTCTATGAGTCCTTCGCTCTGGAACTTAAGTCCTAAGTTCAGCATTCGCGCTACCAGTGTGACTGAGCGAGATCGATCAGAGATTAAAATATCAAAATAACGGATAGTCATACTGTCATCGTACTCGGCCATTTTTAACCGACTTCAAAAAAAGGAGGAGGTTCTCAATTCGATTGTATTTTTGTAGGTAGTTGTTGCAAACAAGAGTTGCCACCAAATCCCTTCAAATCGGTACAGCGCACCGTATTAATTTTTAATCCTTTCAAAGTCGATTTCCAATCAAAACTTCGTACGAATCTGGCAATTTCTAAAAAGGTTATCCTGTTACGAAAACTTCAAAACATTAATTATTGTTTAACAGGAATTATCTTTTGTGTACATTGCATTGCCTATGTAGGTATGTGCTGTGACACAGAAAATAATTTAATTATATGTATTTCCTAAATATATCGGCAAATAACCGAAAAGGACCGAAGAAACCGCTTCAAAGTGCATTAAAGAATACATTCTAGTTTATCAACCCCTCAGACCGGACAAACGGCAATTGTTTCAATTTCCTAAGTGACTCAAGCTCTGTGTTCGTTGAAAATGTTTTAAAAATAGAGATGTATCTACTAGTTCCATTTGTATCGGTGTTGAAACGTTCATATTGATAATAATCGCGGTGTTAATAAAATCTCAGGTCAAACAGGTCGCGGTGGCCTGGAGGGTAAGGCGCCTGCTTCTCATGCATGAAACTTTTTCCGAGTTATATGTAAGTTCTATGACTATCTAGACACCACTGACATACGGTGAAGGAAAACATCTTGAGTAAGCCTGGACTTATAATATCTCATTATAACTTTGAAATCACCAATCCGCTGTGAGCAAGCGTGGTGATTACTGCTCAAACCTTCTCCGTGTCAGCAGTGGGCACTTATAGGCCGATGGTGTGCGATGCGATCTTATAACATAAGTATAACATAATCTTTAATTTATTTATTTAAAAAATGTACTTAAAATTAATCCCAACTGAAATAATCATCATAAAATATAAAAAAAAAATTTTTCCTCTACTGAAACGTAAGTTTGTAAGTATGGATGGCTGTTTATTACACTGCCACGTGAAAACTACTGAACGGAAAATGAAATTCTGTAAAAATAAACCCAGATATAGATTATAGTTTGGAATATCAAACGAGGTACTTTTTCCCAAGGTGATATTTACTAATTTGTCATATCTATGGGGTCTATAAGATTCTCCAGTTTGCCTTTTAACCTCATTTTATCGATAGCTGAGGTAGAAGGAAATAAAACTTTTTTTAGTTTATCTGAAGAGTTTTTCTCGCGCCCGCGGGTTTACATACATTACTCCTGTTACATGTCAGTCCCACGTCCCTGTCGGTAATACGTTGTTTTCAACGTACGAACCCAAGATTTTTTCGTATAGAGTAGATAAAGCTTGTTTTTACCAAGGTAGTCGGCAATGGTTTAATAAAACCTACTTTTGCTTATTTCAACAAGCAATGTGAACATAATTTATCCAGAAATTGTAATCTCAATTGCATTCTTTTTAAAGACACTATTATGTACAAATTTTCTCAATAAACCGTAAAAATAAGTAACCATTGACCTAAATTTTAATTTGGGTCTGATACAACCTGTGGATACAACTAACTCTCGTCACTACTGTTTCTGTACTTCATCATCATCATCAGCCTATAAGTGCTTACTGCTGCTCACACGCTTGCTCAAGGTGTTAGGATTGGCGATTTCAAACATGTAATTAGAAATTAGATGATCTGGTTTCCTAACGATGTTTTCCTTCACCGTATGTCAGTGATGTCTAAATAATCATAGAAAGTACATGTAACTTGGTAAAAGACATATTGGTACTAGCCAGGTTTTGAAAAAGCATGCATGAGAAGCGGGCGCCTTAATCTCCACCACGGCTATGAATTTCTATACTTATCAGTCTCATTTCCCTTACAGTATATCACAGTAACAGACCTGAGCCTCGCAGCGAGCAGCTTGTTCGGCAGCTAGTTGGTCTCGTAGAAGCAACAGTTGCGCAACCGCCGCGTGAGTCTGCTGCGCTTGTTGCTCCAACCGTTCGCGCAGCAACTGCAGTTGGTGTTGCGCACTCAATGGTGTAGTAGCATCCCCGACCTCATCACCTCCAGTAGCCACCTCCACTTTAGTTACACACTCCGGCAGATCAGGCAGGTTGATGGTCGGCGCCGGAGTAATACGCTGCAACAATAAATACGTTATCACCACAACTTCGAACTTTCGTCCAATAAACTAACTAAAGAAAAGAAATAAAACGTAATCGTATAACAGTTTTGTTGAAACTGACTGACGAGGTAATTACGAATGTATCGATTTGGTCTACTAAGTTAGATCACACATTTATTTTTATCTTTATCAGAGTTGTGTTGTCGTAATCACATCCGATGCCGGATTTGTTCATCATTGCCTCAATGATTAAGTACATTTATTATAATATTGGCTTCAACTGATATCGATATTAATAAGAATTGATTTGTGTGTTCATTAAATTCCCCCACTATTAAACATCCCCTGTTGAGGATTTACCCCGCGGCGAATTTTATCGCGCAGTCTCTCCTGTTCATGTATCCTTGGTAGATTGTGACTTATTAGGGCAATACCAAGGTACTATTAACATCGTTCTTGGGCCATCAATCTGTCTGTCTGGTGAACTGATTACAGCAATCTTTGGGCCTGATTAAGAAACTAAAGTACTACTTTGCTACTTTATATTGCGTGAAAGCGTAACAATGTTTTGCTTAGTTTTTATAGAAATGGAGATATGTTTTAACCAAACGTCGGGGATACATCTGTCGATAATACAACTACGCTGTTTACGTTACGCGTAACACAAATAATTGCATCTATTGTTTACGCGAAGAACAATTTGTAGATATTTGTACGATCTTAAAGCAGCTCACGGTCAGGGTTGATATTAAGTGTACGTATATTTTATTTAGACGTATTTTTGTTACGAAACGTAATAAAAACCTTTTTCTTTAATTCCTTTTTCTGCGCTCATTTAGTGAAAGATGATTTTTCCATTTCATCGACGAAGTACAAAAAAGTATTTTAATTGACATTTTGAATTATCAAAGGTCCTGACCCCAAACGAAAACGAAAATGAAAAGAAAACACAGAACGAAATTAAAAGTTTTCCACAAAAGGGTTTCATTTTAATTTTAAAGACAAACGGAAATTTTATAATTAAAACCGTGATGATGGACCAAGATTGAATTTTTATGACCTTTATATTTGCAGTTGTCATACTAGAATGTACGCAAATAGAACCTAATTAATCTTCATCGCTGATTAAGATATCTGGTTACTGCAGTGAGCTCTTATAACAATTGTATTCGAATGCTTCAGACATGTGGAGTGGCTGAAGTATGACAGGCAGCTTGAAGCCTGCGCCGGCCACTAGCCCCGAGGGCTTTCACTGGTTAGGACTCAAATGCTATGACAGTGACAGACAGACAGGCTAACCATTGAAAACAGACGCCCGACGTTTTGATATCAGAAATTCGGGATCTCCGAACAGCTGACTAGAGCTGGGAGAAGCATGCTAATAACATTAATTTTGATGTTCAAACAAGAAGCGATCTTACATGCACTGGATGTACGTTAAAGTATCGTGTGCACTGACATTTCCATATGACGCTATGCGGCGGAAATGAGTGAATAAAATCTTTTGTACCAATGAATACGAATTATTGTTGATATCTAATTGGCACTATTCCAATTCCGCAAATAACATCACAATGCCTACAGAATAACAGTAAAAAGTCATCATATAGAGGAAGATCTGACATATTATTTTCATTTGAAACAATGCAGAGCATATAATTTCGCTTTGAAGATAGATGTAGTAGCAAATACAGTATTGTTCAATTATTTCTAATGTTTTGTTTGTCTAATGATCGGAAGCGGAATAAAGAACAAAAGATTCTGGGTTCATTTCTAGCTTGTATAAATTGTTTTGTTTTGAATACCTGAGACTACATAACTGTGCACTTATGTATAATCAATTTTGTCTTCTGATTCAAGGAAAAACAAACGTGACGTGACACGCCATTACACTCGAACCTCTCAACATAAAACTCACAGAAATTTGAAACATACATATACATACATATTCCTCACTGTTACAAACATATGAAATCAATTCCATTGAAACCTACACGTAAAGTTACGAGTGGGTAACAAGATAAATGTATGGATGAATTAATTCCAATTCTGGCGTCTAACGTTTGTTAGTCTAACCTTACACTGAGAAGCTGTATCAACACGGGCGTAGTGTTAGAGAGTCACGGCGTCACAGCGGGCACAGAGGAGGTCAACAGCAGTGCAGATATGCGGTCTTGTATCGAAGAAAACGTTCTGTTGCAAACAAGGGGCGTGACTTGGGTGCAAAGGGTGGATAATTCTAGCTCCAATGTACCAAAATGTCTAGAAGCGTTTCTGCAGACGTTTGAAATTCCTTCTTGTATCCAGTGGCGCAATGTGTCGCGATTTTAAACTTACCGTCGTTACGCGAGATCTTTGCATAATGACTTCTTGCAAGATTCAAAGCACCTCTACTGGAGTTAGTGTTAGTTTTGTTGTAAACTCACGGCAGTCTTACCTCGCCCTTCGAGGAGGGCCCAAGACACATTTCTGTGGTAAAGTGCCAACATAGTGTAATGTAAACGATATCGTTTATTTAAGACGTGGGTTGGCTTGTAATTACGTATTTAGTGGCCAATGTTTGTCCGTGTGAACAATGTTACCCTACAAATAAGGCTTTTGGTGAAAATGTACAGCATGTTTTTATAGGTCCCGAAAACGAAGCTCTTTATGCGACGAGTTGATTGTATGTATTTAGTCAAAGCCAGTAACAGTTGTGAGTGTCTGTCTACTGAACACGAACAAATATCGTAAATTACCAGACGTATTACCCATCCGTGTAATGCAAATTGTAATTTACTCTAATAATAAAACGTTATTCAAGCAGTAAACTATAATTATATGTCCTGCACTATGGACACAAATACATAGAATACTAACGACGCAAATAAAATAATATACAAACGCACCTATTGAGAATTACCTCCACAATTTATTACGAGAATGCTTTTAATATAATTTAGTGAATTATTCACGTCACTAGTGCCGCGAGTAAGCCGAAAGCCGACAGTCGAACCAGTTGAAGTGGGATCGAAGACATTCGCGTTCCGATGATATTATTATAGGTTTGATTTATTGTAAGTAACGCTCTCGGATTCAATGTGGGAGGGCGATTATCGAGAGTAGTTGCAACTATTTTCAGTACGGATAATAATGTATCTATTTTTACCACGTTTGTTAGAATTATGCTGATCAACATATACAAAGGTCAAATATTTCATTCATTACTGCGAAGCGGTCGTAAAATATCGATGTGTACTTTACCGGGGCCGATGTTTCTTTTGTGCTATGTATATAATACTGAGTCCCAAGTATAGTTGGCGGATTCAAGCAACGAGTTCCCGAGTCGGCCCTATAATTTTAAAACTTTTTACTTTATATGAGAAAGTTTTGGGTAGGAAGTTTTACAAGTTTTTATGTGCTAGTTAGCAACTCCGGTCTTTAGGCATTGCCCAAATAAGTAGTGGTGCATTGTAAGATTTTCTGTTATGTAACTTACTTGTGTCGTAAGTTGCACTTATCTTTAGTACCTTCAAATTTTCATTATCTGACTGAAAAATATAGTTTAAATCTTTTTAGTGTCGTAATTTCAGGGGGTTTAACAACTAGTTTTGCAAGTTAAGTGTAGTTTGACCTCCCCTCTCCTCTCGAAGGATATTTAGCTACATAAAGCCCTAACTAAACAGATCGTAATAAATGTGTTGATGGCCCTTAGACGCGTGAAACCCGCACTCTCCCTACATTGCAGTGACTATGAAATATTCTGCTCAGAAAATGCTATCAATCATTCAACCTCTATCAGAATCTATGAACAAAATTTACCTAAAAATGAAACTAGGGTACATAATACGCATCCATTAATATTAATCACGTTTGGGATCAATAGGGACGGGAAGCCTTTAGCTAGTTTTGACAAAATACTTAGATGATTGATTTAAGTTAAACAAGTTTGTTAAGAGTTATTTTTGTTTCATATTGGAAAATTTTCCACAACTTTATAATTAAAATAATTATTCTATGAATAGATCTAATCCATCAATATTATTATGTTGATTCTATGATTAAGGCTTTTTACGTGTATTATTAAAATGGTATAATAGCTTGAATCGCAATTTATTAACAAAGTCAAAGTCAAAAACATTTATTTCAGGCACATTTGAACATGAAACAAAGCTGCAAGATAAAAAGTGCTGGTCGTTCAGTCACTCTTAGTAAAGTTATTTGCTCGTTCCAAAGTGTAGATTCCGATGGAGAAGAACGAGCAAGAAACTCCACGTTTCCTTTTTTTAAATCAGAGACATACAGACTCTGTGGTGTATTATAAAGTTGGTACGATTATGTGAGAACAGGTTCGATTAGGTATATATATTATACATCTGTTATTGATAACAATTGGCGAGACGGTTAATAACAATGATATTATAAGTAAAATGGTGCAGATAAGTTACCTAAACAAAATTCGATTTTCAAAAACGACACACATAAACAATTCCTATGTTTAGACGTCAAATTGAGATGGCATGATTCAATAATTGCGAGTAAAAAAGACACAATAATGAAAAAGTGTGGCTAGTTAGCCACATTTTAATGTATTTCTTGCAAAAGGCTTGTAACGTATCTACACCTTTTTACTTATAATATCATTGGTTATAGGTAAATATCAGTCACGTGTAACACCTGTAGATTAATTACCGGGAATGATACTAAAATTAACAGTTGAGACTCAAAGCGACATGACGTTACAATAATTCTATAGTAGGTACTCAGTATAAAACAATGCGTTCTCGATTTCAATAAACAATACGGGTATTCGAATATTGTTTAGTCATGTTCACAAATGTGAAATATGTAAGGGCTTAGAAACAAAAATGTTTTTATAAAAAACATACGAATTCCACAGATGAAAAATATATTTTTCATATTACATATTGGTATTGTAATAGATCTTTTGTTCCCAGAGTTGTTTTGTCCAAAAAGGTTTCAGCATTTATGTATAACTACATACATAATATGTTTTAATATTGATTAATGTTTATTTAAGTGAAGCAAATGCTTGCATATAATATGTCGATAGAAAGAAAAACCTTAGTTCTAATGATTGTTTTTCTATATAGAAAAAATATTTTTTTGATTAATGGTGAAGCACTACTGTGAGGCAGCTAAAGTCAAAACTTTGTATGATAATATGTAAGAAACTTTCAAAAAACTCACAAAGAAAAGAGAACATTGTCTTTTGTTTGTGGTTAAAACATTAGGAATATAGTTTTTTTTTTGAACTGACCACTTTAAAACAAAATGATGTAATCTTCATGGTTCTTTAAACAATCATTGAGGTATAAGAAGAGAGAGAAAAAGAGACAGAGAGAGAGAGAGAAAGAGAGAGAGAGAGATTTAAGACTTACTCAGGTAAAAATAACAAATTAACTGCAAAGTCTACAGAATAGAATAACGACCGACATTTTGTTGATTTATGTAGGTATTTCCTACTTTCTGTCTTTAATATCATAAAACAACTTATCTGTGACTCTGTTAACCCTTAAAATATTTGAAAACTAAAAACTAAGACTGGGCCAATAGGATTATTTGAATTTGATCGAAACTGGACCAAAAACCCAATCACTCCGAAGTCGATCTGATAATGAAAACAAAAACAAAGGGAGGAGTTTTTTTTTATTCCAATAAGGAGAGTAAAATCCTAAGATTAGAAGATTTCCTCAAGGGAATCGTCTTAAAAGAATTACTTGTGTTTTGTATAAAGCAACCAAAGAAAAAAAGATCAAAAGCTCTTTCGCTTATGTTTTTATATGATTAAAATAGGAAAGATTACAATACACGTTATGTTCGAAGAAATATGGCCCATAATTCCTTTGAAATAATGATCAAATTAAAAAAAGCAAAGACGTTGTTAGTCATAACGATTCTGACTTTAAATTTTGCCGTCTTTTAAACATGGTCTAGTTTAAGACTAGAACATTACGGTTTAAACAAAATGAGGAATTGATCAACTAATTGATAAACGAAAACTCTGAGCCTTTACACAAATCAATTTTAAAATAAGTCTGCATTGTTCATTCACGAATGTCGAAAGTCTTCAAATTACTTCTCTTTCCCTGGATTGGGACTAGAGTGAGTTTCAAACTCTTACTGACTAAAAACCAACTCGTTATTTCTCCTACCGATTAAATTCACTCGATATATTGAAGTGAGACCTCAGTATATCGTGTGGATTTGCATCTTTGTATGAGGTATGAGGAGTGTGAATACCTGTTAAGGTTTACCGGCACAATGTCGCATCAGTTATTAAAATATTTGTAATGGCCCCAGGTAGTATACAGAACATAGTATATTTTTCTTATTTCGTCAAACCACTACGTCTTTAAATGTCAAATGTTACTCTCTTAATTAACAACATTACCTTATTTGTTTTATTAAGAGTAATTCGCCTTTATTTCCAGTTTTATTAGAAACTAGCAGAGCCTCTATAGCCACAACTAAGCTAAGGTAAATAATATTGTGACAATAAATTGAGATTTAAGCTATCCTATCTTTCGAGTTGGATAAACATGCACACGGATTCAAATCAAATTTAAAATCGGTTAAGTAGTTTAGGAGTCCATCGCGGACGAACACGTGACACGAAATTTTTATATATAAAGATTATCAATAATTAACATCAAGATAAAGATAATTATAAAAAATGTACTCTAAAGATCTGGACTTTAACTAAACCTTCTTTGTTCGTGAGTACTACATTCATATAAACTTTATACAACCATAAAGTCTAAATTTTGGAAAATGCTAGAAACTTTAATTCTAGATTTGGAATGAGAGGAGTGAGCTAGGAATGAGAATGGTCCCAGGTGACGTTGGGAATTTAGTGTTCCGTCGGAAATGTTAATTAGGTAACAATACCAGCTTTGAGGCCCTCTGGATTCGCTAAGAGAAATTCTACCATAAAACTAGTACCTAGACTACACAAATATAGTGCTTATCAAATATGCAGCTCATTATTTAGATTCTATTGTTATCCTGGGATTTTACTTTTGCTTTGTTTCTATAGTGAAAATATTTGGATATTTGATCTAGACTCTAGACCTAATTGTTAAGTCTAGAGAAATATTATTTGAATTAAAATTTACATTTTCAGTATCCGTAATGTAGTGCTGAAATTATACCACGGCCTCACATAAAACCGGCGTGAAACAACACAAAGTTGGGTTTCACCGTGTGAGTGAGGTTACCGAAGGCTCAATTCTCCCCCTACTATAATCCCTAAATTCGAAAAACCCTACTACCCAAAAGGTCGGCAACGTGCTCGTGACTCCTGAATAGTTGCGGTAGATGTGCGGCGCTGATTGCTTACTAAGGTAATTCATGAGCTAGTTTGCCGTCGTATCACATAAAAATAAAATATCTGATACATAATCATCATCACCATCAGCCTATAAGTGCCCATTGCTAAGTAAAGGCCTCTTCTCATACGGAGAAGGTTAGGGCATTAATCAGATACATAATCTGATACATAATGGCCATCCAGAAAATGTGCAATAGATCCTCATTCTTCTAAAATTAAAGTGTCGTAGGAGTCAAGACTTTACAACATTAATTAAATTATTGTCATTTATTTTACAAATTTATGTACTTATTGTACTATGTTCAAGTTTGATTTGTATGGACATAGAGGCAGTCGTGACATTTCAATATGCGCGTAAGCACACGAATCATACACATATATCTGCATATGTGTTTACGATCATGCTCGATTAGACACGACTTCATGAGTACTTAACTATTATTTAGTACTTGAAAATAGAACTTAACTGTTCAGGGAACTGAGTTCTATTTTAAGAGGCTCATGTGTCTTGGTATTATGCTAGTTGGTCCCCGAGAGGGCAGATATAAGAGGACAATGTATAAAATAAATCTTTATTTATTATTCAATTCAATTCAATTTAATTCTTTATTTGCGGGGATATCTATAGCTTTCTATTTTTTGCTTAAACTAAGCGTTGATTTAAACTATGAGTTTCTCGTCTTTATAGAACAATGCACCTCTAGAGACAGTTTGAGGCCTGTTTCGTGCGGAAACGATATTTATTCTCTCTCGTGCATCAACCATAAACCATTTGAAAAAAAAAGAACAAAAAACAATATTGCAAATATTGATCGAAAGCTTCGCTCCAAAAAATATAATACCAATGCGGTTGTTATAAAAGAAATCATGAAATCTTACAGCGAAGTGAATTTAAAATACCTTCATTATGCAGGTTTCTGAAGGAAAACGGTAGGAAGATATGTATGAGTCTTATCTTACATACATCTCTGTATTAAGACATTACATACACGAAACCATTGAATATGATAATTTTTCTCATGCATAAAAAATGTTGAAGAATGCTAAAGTTTGCTACTTTTTTCGCTTTTGAAAGCCATTTGTGGGCGAAATAAAGTTCAATAGGGATTTTTTTCTCAGACAAAAGTAAACTGTTTTACTTTTGTGACTCCACAAATAATTTACTTGATTAATGATTCAAAAGACAAAGCGATACTTTAATTGAAAGAGAAAAATAGATGTGAGGTCGCCTCGACTTTTTTCTATGTAACTTGTAGTAATTTACGATTCATTTAGGACTTTATTACAAAACAATAAAGTTGCATGTCCATTAAAGTTTAACAAATAGGAGGTAGTCGGTAGTTTGATCCGCTGTTGCCTGCACTAGAAATTAAACTTGCCCAAAACCAGTATCGTTTATTAGACACTGTTTAATTTTAACCCGCAGATGCAGGCAGGCTTGCAACTTTAGTACTAAATTGAGGAGGCTTTTATCGTTGGTTCTGCTTAGTTATATATAACCTGCAAACTTCTTCATTTGGATTATATACTATAATTTAATCTAGATGTAGTTTTAAGTTATACCTCTAAATATGTAGTTTACCTGAGTTCGCTTGCCCTCCTTCCTTGGTGGCGGAGGCAAGAGGTCCAGATGCTTAGGTCGTTCTTCACGACCTCCTACAGCTCCCTCTTCAATCACCACCTTGGTGGTAGAAGCTGCACTCTCGGAGGCACCACATTCGGAAGCCGGTTCTGTTGATCAGACATCACTTACTTCTACTAACAATTACTGAAAATGGAACCCATTTTCTATAGCTAGCAGTACGTATTTCCTTGTTATATAAAGACGACAGACGGATTATACTAACATTTTCTTCAAATCATAAAGAAAATCTCATAAATATAGAACAAGAATGTTTTATATCTACTTAATTTTTGTTTTGGGTTTTTTGGACTGAGCGTTGCGCTTCAAACCTACAGCGTTTGTATAGGCCACCTGTTTGCACGCAAAAAGTGACAATGTGAGAAAAAATACATACGGAATGAATGTTTACGATATTTGCATGAAGCCACGAATTACGTGCAGCGAATGAAGCGACACGGTTGTCAGGAATACATAAAAGTATATTCCCGCGATGAAGTTGTTAGGAAAAATAGCGTTAAACCACCTTAAGACATATAAAAGGCGAATTTTATGAGCGTATTCAAGATGGAATAAAATGTCCGATGCCTATAAACTGTTGGCAGACCAGTAGAGGTATGACTATGTAAATTAAGGTAAAGGCAATGAAATTATGACGTTGCTCGTTAATCCAGCTGTTACCTACCCGTTACGTCGGATGTCATAAAACGATACATAAAAGCTAATTATAAGCTACCCGCAGTAACAACGAAAAAAGAAAATGTGACGTCATCTTCGTACTGTGATACAAGTTGAGCCGTCAAATAATACGAGACCAGAGAACAAACACATCGGTGTACTATAAGATTCATGAAAAGAAAACGTAAGTAATGCGCGTCTTTATTTCTTCTGAAACCCTTTCTGCCTGAGTCTGTAGTAAAACTTTTATACCAACTTAATTAATAAATAGTGACATTCAACGAGTGATGAGTTGACAAGTTAAGAGTATAGTAATACTATATTTAAGACCGCCTACTGAGGAATAAAATTATGTCGACTGATGCCTTGTTGGCACAGGGCACTTCTCGCCTTTACGACTTCCCGCTTATGAGCAACGATTGCGCGCGGGACGGGAACTAAACCTGACCGTATTGCTCCGACAACCGCGTCAATATTTATTTGTACGATTCAACTACCACAACAGAAGCAATATTATGCAATCAACATAAAAGATGATATGTATGTCTAATATTGTTCAAAATATACATCGGTTGGACTAGTACCACCAAAGAAATGATTTACTCTTCGGAAAATATATTATAATATATATTTACTTATTTATTTTTCTTAAAATTAACGATTGAAGATTGTACATTCAGTCTGGCGTCTTTATATTTTTTTGTAAAATATGTTCATCCACATCAAGACTCTGGCCAAGTTATTTATTTACGTGACACACTATATATTTTATTCGCATCGCGAAAAAAACACGCGTACATTGATAAAGTCGCTATCTGCCTAAGAAAAATTAACTCGCCAAGATTAAAAATCGCAAAGCTAAGGTAGAAATATTATAAATGGCAAGACAATCTGTCGCTATAGGCAAAAACAATCGTATATCAACGAGTAGACGTAAGAGCTCGGTTGCTATAATTAAATTCTCCATTTCATGCGAACAGTGATGTCAAGTCATAATATAATTGCACTCCAGTGTAAAGGGGTCATCGTGACATACATTTGCATCTATTGTGGAACATAGCCGAATATTAGTAGCTTTTTCTGGTATGTTCGATGAACCCTTTAGTAGTGGTTGATATCAAACCTTTGGAAGCGGCCATGTCGCTGCCGCTCGCTACTGGCTCATCGGGAGCGGACGAGGTGGAGGGCGCTGGCTGCTCTGGAGAATTGATCTGCATCTTATGGCACACCTCGAAGGCTTGACCCACGGTGCGCACAATCCTCATTGCTTGACTCTGTAACAGAAATCCTCCATTAATCCAAAGTACCTTACTCACATTTTAAAAATCAAAGCTCTATACAATTTACAAAAAATATAGCGCCCAATCTTGTTTCGATCATTATCTTGATTTTCAGTCAAAGAGGAATGAAGGAATGGCCTTATCAAGATTTAATTAACAATTTTAAGACCACTTCATCAAAATGCACTACTATCCACCTGCCTAATTCTGCACATCAAGTGCTTTTGCTATCGACTTGTTTAAGTACTATTAGGAGCGTGGATGGCTTCCAGTTGAATGAGAATCAAGTACAGAATGTGCGTGTTTATTGAATAAGTGTTCTGTTAGCTACACATACACATTAAGGGCATGATATGGCTGAGATCTCGAGATTGATATTGTGTATTTTCGTTATGAACACGATACATATTGTCTCATCTCATAATTAGATTGTATCAAAGAATGAACAGATGGCTCAACGTAATGAAGAATAGGAAAAATGTCGCCCTAGTGAGAGAAAAGTAAACAATATAAGGAAGACATAGTGTTCATAAGATTTGTTTGAATAAGATACCTCTAGGTGATATTTTATTAATACGCGCAGTAAGTTCATGTAATTTATTCCTTGTTTTTATTGTGTATAAGGTTTGGTTTGGCTTCCAGCCCTATCGTAGTTTGCACAGTTGCTTTTCGGAGTGAGGGGTAACTCTTCTTAGTCAAAGCTCTTTTTATTTGTCGCGGTACGCCATGTTTTCAAATATACTTTTCTTATAATGTTTTAATATTAAAATAAGTGTCTAGATTGATACTAAAACCGACTTAATGTTGATATTTTACATCTGGGCTTACTATAATGTGTATGTACCATTTTTTTGTACTCCTATTTAAGTAATGTTTTTATATTTATGATTATATTTGTTGGTTTTATAACGATATTAAACCCAAGAAAATGCTGATAGTCGACTGACTGGTTCCTTGGTATAAAAGTTTTAATAGTGCAGATGAAAAATTCTCTGGTATTTTGACTCGTTTTGTGAATTTTATACCTAATAATAATTACGAAAGATTGTATGGTTTGAGTAATGCGAATATGCTTATTGTTGAGGCGATCGACACGCAAGTCAACCAAGTTAACCAACCAATCACGTTGTTAAGTGGCAACGTTACAACAAGGTAACATACTAGACTAACTTAAGCGTAAGCACGGGTCTACGAACGGCGAGTTAGGGTAGCTCGCCGTTTGAGACAAGAAATGAATGAAAGAAAGAAGAAACAAAGAAAGGAAAACCAGTTATTTTAACCATTTATTTAGAAATGATATTATGATAAGAATATTTTTTGCACTTCTATTTATTTATTTAAAAAATCCATATTTATGCATTGCAACGCGTAAGAAGCGAACTGATGTTTCTTATTCAGGAGTTCAGGCAACAATGTCAGAAGTTACATCTGTCGCTATGGCAAACAATTTAATGAATGTCAAGGTATTAATAATTCTGAGTTCCGTCACTGCACTGGTTTACGGCAGTCTAAGTTTGTCTCGAATATTACAAGTTGTGTGTCTAAATCTATTAAGTAATAGTTTAGCAAGGCACACAACTGCCGGCGACCGAGTTTGTGGATCTTAGATAAGTGCTTACTTGCAAAATATGTACAATGTGGTGACATTTCAGAGTGTTTTTCTTGTAAAGAATATACGTTTTAATTTAGAAAATTAGTCTTGTTTAAGGGATTGTCTTATTGTTTGTTTTTTGTTTGCACTGAATAGACTTACTGACCGATTTGAAAAATTATTTCACAGCTGGTAAATATCACTATCTCCTGAAAACATAGGCTGTATGCTATGCGCGTGAAGCCGCAGGGCACAACTAGTGATGAAGAAATCGGTGTGTAAAACACTTTGCTAACATGAGTATTGAATCCCGCAAAGAGCTTACGTCGTACTTTACGGAGGCGACCACTAATCCGAGGTGCTAGTACTGTTAGTTACTTTGAAAGACGTGCAAATTATTCTACGTTGTAGATCGTTGAACCCGTTGCTACGGCTCACAATGGGAATAAAAGGGTACAACTGCGAATGATATTTTACAAAGGGGAGATAAAAGGTCTGGGCGCGGAGTAAGCGTGGGAGATGACATGTGTTTAATTAATGCTCCTCTCATTCAGTTCGCGTAACGGATGGAGCAGATTATTCAGGTTCAACGCTTATGTTTCAAACCAAAGAGTAGCCGTAAAATTGATACAAAATCCCTACCGTGCGAATGTCGGCAAAGTACTACCATGTATCGAACCCGGCTTGCGACCGAAGATATTATTCATAACCCAATCATCCGCGTTAAATGAAAACACAGGTAGGCATAAATATATCTACTTATATACCTATCTACATTTTCATATTCATGAGTAAACAATTTTTACTGCTGTCATAAAATCGTAGGCGAAAATAATTGAGAGAGACATTTTTAACATAGATATGATGAGTGGGTTCAATAGTTGTAAGATATCATGTGAGTGCGGTGTGATTAGTGAATATATGCCTACGAGTATTGTGTATATGCATATTTAAAATTTTCATAAAGAAATGAGATTACACTGTCATATTTGGTAGATTAATAAACTTTTGATAGAATAATTCGGAGTCTGATACAGTGTTTTAGGGACCGATGGATGGAGATTGTGCTAGAATTGTGTACTAGCCAATTCCATATTTTAAATTTGTTTGACATTTAATTCGTGGAAAGATATCATAAAATATTCCTAAGTTAAAACGTCCAAATTGCAAATGATTGCCCAATAATTTTATGTACCTAGTTGAAGTAGGTATCTAATATTTTCCAGTGACCAGTCAACATGAAGATATAATTCGGACACGTTTATCTCGCAATAACTATCTAATGCATAATATTAAATGGATTATTCGAGTAAATAATATTAAATTGAGCTTGAAATTTTGGAATTTCTGAACTAGATGCGCTAATGAAGTGGAATCTTTGTAATAAGTGTAATGGAGTGGACAGAAGACAGAGTTCAGCGGCAGTCCTTGGCCAGCGGCCAGAGATCGACACGTTATTACACTCCTCGTGCATTTCAAGAAAAAGCTGCGATACCACTATTTGTCAAGTCTCGTGATTCTACATAAATTGACGCTGATATGACAGTACGAACAGGGAAACAAAAAACATGCTCGTTTTTACACAGAACTCAATTAATTTACTTTGAACGAATTTCGTTTGTTGGAAGTTAGAAGTGATCAAGATTTGCGGCTGAACTCGACACGTGTCCCTCTTTATTACGAAACTTCGTAAATACATTACACCTTTGTGAGAAAAATAATAGTAAAAAAAACTTTACATAGAAATAAATGTGTTTCGCGAAAAGTTTTTCATGATACTTCGAATACGCACGCACGGGCTCGCTCTGAAAACTCCAACGCGCCTGTCGAGCCGATAGAAACTAATAATTCAAGTTCCTTAATATCCATAATAAAATAAATAGCCGTTCAAGGCCCGTTTGTGTGAATAATGGCAAAGTTTGACACTGATCGATGATTGAAACGCCCAATATTTGTACCCGGATTACTGATGGATCACTAAAACGGGTATTAGCTACCTGCTCTAGAACGTTAAGCTATTCAATCCCGTTAAGATAGAAGAGGAGATAATGACAAATGATCATTAAAACACGGAAGGGATGGCAGCCGCTTGAATTGCATCGTCTTTCATACATTCAACTTTATACAGCACCTATTGCTAAAGTATTTATAATGCTGAAAGCATTGTCGTATTTCACAAGAAACGAGTAGTTAACATTTGATTTCAATTTCATAAAACTCGAGAAACATTAAGACTATCCTCAGCAGTAGCATTCTGAGTCACTATCAGGTATATTTATTAATATTTACCACATAATCTTTTTACGACTTTCATGTTTAGTTTTTTTATGAACTCCAGTGAGATTTAACACATTTATCAAATATTTATGGGGTTTACAACATCGATTTTTGTCTATAAAGTTTTCCGCAACTGATCCTTCGAAATTATTTATGTCTTTTGTGTCTGGAATATCAATAAGGCGTCACAGAGTTACGACCAAGCAGGTGGACAGTACAAGACTCAAGGAATAGAGATGAAAATGCTGTTTTATTATGCTAATTTGTGGATTGGATCTAATTAAAAAGCTAATTCTCCATTATTCTCAAATTTAATCGAGTAGGTATTAGACAAAATGGAAACGGCGACGACTCTGCATTTACACAGCTGTGCGGTATCACAACTATTTTTAGGAAAATTGGGACAAAAATTGGTGAGGCCGAGACAATGACCTTTATGCCGATCATAATTTTTGGCTACCTCATTGCCATGTACACGTCACTCGTCTATTTTCGCTGGCTTCGTCACTCTAGCTGGAGTGAGGTCAAAGAAATGCGGTTGGTTTAGGATAAAAGCTTTTGTACGTGCCGGCACCGCCGCGGACGGAGTTCGCTCTCAATAAAAGCGCAGCCCCGTGTTTACGACTCCTGCATCTTACTCCTAATAAATTACAAACATTTCATAAGAAAAGTCAAGTAGCAACGAGAGAGCGTCCCGAGGTGACATTGGTAAGGGTGTATCGGATATCGATACGAAACATCAGACAGGCCAACTGTTACAAATATATACTTATTCCATTTTTTACACTAAACCAGCCAACAATATTTGGAATCGTATTAATTATTTACAACTATAGTGGACGTAATAAAAATTATAATGTCGTTCAGCATAATTTTTATTGACGTCGTTTTAAATAATAAAGCTTTATTTTACTGGTATGAGCCAATAAATAGTGAGTCCGTTTCGTTCTTAGATCTCTTTGATTTTTTATATTAAATTACGATTTCTTTTTGTGAAATACATATAGGTATGTATAAATATTATTTCATGCATATTAACATACTAACTTCATTATAAATAAATTAAATTTACTGAACATTAACAAGGGATAAAAAAGTAAGTTTGGAGTAAACACTAAATTGCCCTTTAGCTTCTAACAATAATTTTACGTGAGTTGTTTTGTAAACATTATTATTATAATGTATTGTTTATCATTAATTACTGAATCTCAACACGTACAAACATGTACAACTTTAATGAGTATCATATGAACAGTAAGTACTGGAGGCGAGTGAAAGATTTTTTGTGTATAACGCACAGAATACTTTATTTAGCTCAGTAATTTGATGGTGTTTAATTAAGGTATGGGGCGAAACGGAACAGACTTGGGCCGAATATTCTCCATCCAAACTAATATTATAAATGCGACACTAACTTTGTATGTCTGTCTGTCTGTCTTTTCATCAGGATTAAACTAAGGACCTATTTATGTAACATTTGGTACAGATATAGTTTAGAACTCGAGAAAAGATATAGGATCGTTTTTAAACCAAAAAATGTCACTATTCCAGGCGAACATAGTCGCGGGCAAAAGCTAGTTTTGAAACATAGGTAAGTTTAATGAGTGCTTGGGTGCATCGATTTGTTTAGGATGCACTGCTTGGCGCTAATCGAAGCTGTTGAACCCAGTTGTCTATTACTTGTAGGTTCGCTTAGGTTTGTGTAATTATAATACAATTAGCGGGACGCGGTACACCGTATGCTTCATTTCACTCCATTAGCACTTGTATGTTGATTCCGAATGTAAACAAAACGCACCGAGAGAATTAATGATACCAAGACTCTGTTTAAGTAACTATTCGAGTGCGTAATTCACACGTCGGCGGCGGCAGTTCCAAAATATCTCTCGTGCAAACGTTACCGGTTATACCAAAGTTTTCTAAATAATAAATGGTCTTGACGACGGAAGTATCGCCCTTGACGTAAGTCTACGCCACAGCAAAATAATACGCAGATAAATGTCACTGGAGATTTCGATTTATAAGAAATTGCGCTTCCGTGAACGTCGCGGTCCTTGGCCACGGCCCGCGGCCGATATCAAAATAAACATCAAACAGTTGGCTGGCCCACTGTATAGTGTATGGTTCGCTGTCCCAACCGCTGCCCGCTCCGCTATTGTTACAGCTTTCATGTTACACCAACCGAATGTGTTTCTTGGCCATCAGCATAAGTGTACCAATTAGTCGGTTGACGTAACTGTAGTTTCTTCCTTCAACAAACTATTCCAATTTAACTGTCTTGTACACTACGGATCTACTGATTCCATAATTATAACGGAAAGTCATCAGAATTATCCCCCGAAATGTATATGTATGTATGTATATTGAAGTTTTACCTTATTTGAAAAGCAACGGACACGGTAATCACGTTCCTTGTTTTTCAAATGTGACAGTTTAAAAAAAATGGACAACAATAAATTTGACTTTTAGTATTGACACATAGTTAGTTCTATACTCTAGTACATAACCTTTAAAAATAAAACTACCTATAACTCTTATGTCCCCAGTTTTAAAAATCCTAGGTAATAATCAAAACAGCTTTTATATGAAATTGATAGACGCGCGCCGACAAGCATTGTTGTCCTACAAATTAAAATTTTAATTATCAATAATCGCATACCTCTAAATCTGAGTCCAATCCTTCTAAACTTGAGGACTGAGGCTCCGACCTCATGGAGTGCCTGTTCGGCTTTCTGGAGAGACTATTTACACCCATTAACTTATGAGAGCGGCCCAATGTCGCACTTCCACTACTAATGATCTCCGGTTCACGAAATGACAGTTTTTTCCTTGGTCTTTCATTGACATCCTGTATTTGGATATCTGGGTTCAGTCTTTCAATAACGGGTATCACGAGACGTGACTGCACACAGACTTCTTCCGCAGATTCGAACTGACGACGTAGCGGTGATGGCTCTTTTGGAAAAGGACCGCTGTGATAATCGTCAAATTCTTTTTCATATCGCTTTGTAGCTCCTACTGATAAAGGTCTAGGTCTCAAACCGCCAGGGTAGTCGCGATGCACATCTTCAATTCTACTTCTGTGCTTATTTTTTCGAACTTCGCTGAATTCTGGCTCAGACCGGCTGGTTTTTAGTTTCTCCTGACTTTTCTTGTCTTTGGCTTCTTGCTTAGGTAACTTAGGTCTTTGTTGTTGCTCATGTTTTGGCTTGAGTGCACCACCTAACGAAAAAAGAGTGCTTCGTGCTTTTAATAACACTTCAGTTGGTAAGTGCTTAAATGAATGTTCATTTTTTCTTTGCTTGCCGTGATCTTTATTGGTAGACATCGTAACTAAATCACTGTTTACGAGAAACACATGTATTTCGATTAATCACGACACACACATATTTTTGATCATAATACGCGCGTCCGTGCGGCTTGGTACGAAACAACTGAAGTGGCGAAGGCATGGCTTGCGCGTGCGTCGCGCGTCGCTCCAAGTACCACAAATAAACATATTCGCGTGTTTCTAAGCGCTGTACTCTTCAGCATGGAAGGATTGGGAAAACTCTTGGTGATAAGACTTGATATTTACGCGATTTCTTTATGTTCCCTGTTTTACGTTTATTTGTTTTTAAATTATGTAAATAAAATAAATCACAGCCCTAAATTGTGAAGTGGCAGGTTACGACGTAAGGAATGGGCTTGATAAAATTTATAAAGACTTTAGTTCGGCACAACTTGTTATTAATAGCTGCACTATATTATTTTATTACTCTCGAGCTACTTTATCGTTGGCAAATGTTATTCGACTGAGTGTTAATGTAATATATGACAAATGGTGTATCGAAAATCGGTGAAACGAGAACTCGTCACGGATTTCTTTTGCGACTTTTCCTCATCCATCTACTACTACAATACTATCTCCAAAAATAAACAAGATTTTTACATATTTTGTAAAGACTTCCCATCGCTCAAGATCCTCGTTATCTATGAAACAGATTTACTAGAACCAAGAGGTGAGGGCTATTTCTTGGAACTGACAAGCACTTTATCAATTTGATCTGTGAGATCAAATAGTAGAAACAAATTATAAGTAAAGCTTTGCTTTGACATGATTCTTAGTCGAAATGGATTCTTAGATTTCGGTACCCTTTTTGTTGCTTTGATTTTATAACTTGGTTACGTTGAAAATTGTAGACGCACTGTCGAATTTTGCTTTGGGTTTCTGTTATCCGGGGATCAAACAGGGAACGTAACCCTATTATACTTGTTTGTTTGAGTTTACACAGCACTACGGGTAGCTGGCCGGCGAGCGGCGCGAGTTTATGTGTCTGTTCGGTTACTGAACGTCTAACTGAGCCGTAATCGTAATACGGGCCATAATAAAATACTCTCAATCAATTGGTGTAATTAAAAAGCGGCCGCAAATGATTCAGCGCAAACAACTCAGTTACTTGTTGAATATTTATGGGCTTCGGGAACGAGTGATCGGCGACGGTAATTGATTATAAAAGTCGAGTAGCTTGTGGACTTGCAAGATTTATACTGTCTATAAAACGAAGGTTTGCGTACAACATCCCGAATTAGATAATACTGCCAACAACCGATTACTATTGCTAGATGACTTTCATCTGTGTCAGTAAATATCAGAATTTTTATTCTATTTTATCGTGAGAATGTATTTGTTCTTTTCTTGTTATTGTTATTAAATTATAATATTATTATAAACTACATTCTTAGCACTCCACAAATCTTGTAAAATCAAATGATTTAAAAAAAAGAAAAAAAAGCTTTCGTCTCGATGGATCGCAGCGGTGTGTACCTACTGTTTGTCGGCACGTTAGAATTTTGATGTAAAAGTTTTAGTGTCCTACATCGGAATAGGTAATAGTTTTAGACAGGAATAACTTAGCCTTTTTTAATAATGTATTTAGGTAAAACAGTGATCTTAATTTCATTATTGCGATCAATAATGAAACGTGTATAACGTGTATAAAAATGTACAATTAATTTTAAAATCGAGCAAGATCTCGTATGTAGTCCGAATCTCCTTTAACAATGGCAGAAAAAAATAATCAAAGGTTGTGTAGGTAATGTAGTGCATGCTGTTTTACGATCAATTTGAAAATTGAAAAAATACTATTTTTTCTCACAAAGTACTTGGCAATTAATAAATATTTTTTAAATCTCTGTTAAAAATCATTTTTTCGCCCATAGTGTATAATACCTACATAATTTTAACTTACGAGTTTAAGAGATGGTTGCCAATCATAAAATGATCGGTACAATTAAAAGTATGTAAAAAAAGAGCGTGTTTGCGTAAAAGTAATAAAGATATGAATGGGAATATTTGTAAAGTTGTAAACAAAAATGCACACTATCTCTTTCGAGTTAGAATAAGTTATTCTTTGAAACAACAGTGCTGTTTGTCATATCCAATTTTCATGTTTGGCAGGCAGAACCTCGATTCTTGGACCGTATCGAGTTGTAGTTCCATGTAAAATACCAATTCTGTTTAAATTTAGAACATTATTCATCAAAAAGGCCCTATTTTAAAAATAAATTAATTTTTATATTAAAATATGGCTATGTTTAATTCAATTCAATTATAGCAATGATTTAGTCTATAATAAGAAATAATTATTTTTACATGAAGTTAGGTAAAGTACGGACTAAGACAAGATCAAATGTATTTTAGTCGTATTTTAAAGAACATCGTATTTCTTTGTCGTCACGAACTCCGAACAAGTACTGCCTAGTATTCAGGACACGTAAACGCCAACTAGTTTTACACTCTACTACGCCACCCGATTTCCAAATAAAAGAGTTTAATGAAAAAAGGTTTAAGCTCTCTGAAACTTTATCGCTGATTAACAGAAGAACGGAACGTAAATAGTACATCACGTTTTAATTAAGTATATGATTCAGTGGTGGTTTGGAGATTTTAATTTATTTAATCAATAAATTGGTATAAAAAGATAAGGATACATTGAAATTAATTAGATGATGGTCTAGCCGATACAAACGCCAGAGCACCGCGGCTTTGCGAATAATGCCCATTCTTTTATTCCAAATTTGAAAAACAATTCTAGCATGTGAAAAATCAGGTTTTTCACTTCGGAAAAATTCGTCATGAAACCAAAAATCCAATAATGCTTTGTTCTATTTGGTATTTGATCGAAATACTTGAAACTCTTTGGCTGCCTTTAAGCACTAATCTCTTGGGCACTAGATATTCCTACGTGCCTATTGGGTAATTTTCGTTATTCGTTTTTTTTTGTGAGCTTTATACGGGCCGTATGTCAGTGTCAGCTTTGGCAGGGATTTAGGAGAATTACGTTTCGTGTACATTCCCATCTAATGTGTGGAAGAGGAAAAGATATGTGATTCCTAGCCTAGCGTTTTGTTGGCAACAAATTAATTTGTACTAATAGGCGTTAGCACGTGGGCTGGAACAGATTCAGTGATGGAAAAAAAAGTTAACATAAATATCATAGTATGTCCAATATGGCCATAATTATAAGATAGCGAGAAACCTCTATCTTACCTTTATTATTTAAGTTTTATTTATAGCTTCGTATGAAAAGAATTTGATGCGTCCAAATTCTTTTCAAAAAGTCTGTTAGTGATTACGGGAGTTCAATCGAACCTCTTAATCCGGTCAAAATTACCGCGTTCTAGAAAATGAGAGTCGTATGACACAAGCGCATTCCGTAATCAAATAAAGTTCGGTCCTCGGTCTGTACGTTTGTACCTCTTACCTCTGTTTTCGACTTTTTATTTTGACGTAGTACGGATATGAGATATTCTAATCTCGAGTCACGAGCGAGTAAGTGCAGTGATGTGGCGCAACAAAGGAAAATGAATTTCGGAGTGAAGATGACAAGACTAGCGCGAATATTGCATTTTTACTGTACTACATCATGCATACGGTACAAAGAGATACTTTTTTAAATACCTTTGCTGATTTCTCGGAACACTATCAAGCAAGTAATGGAACAGTTTCTGACTCTTGTAAGCTACAAATGAAACCTTTGACCGAACTAATTGCATTTTAGCAATCAGTTGTCCATATCCAACGGATTTTACTTATGGATACTTCTTTGTCTATATTAGAGTTTGATCGAATATTTTTTTATACGATCTTTGAGTTGGCAGGTAATACAAGACGTCATAGATTTCCTTCTAACGCGCATTCCTTCAATGAAAAATATTTTCGTCGAAAGGCAATGTCGCATCGCGTCGTCTAATTATAGTCAACCAATTCTGAATTCGTGGTAAAGCTTTTTATATTGAAGTATCAGTAGGAACTCTTTTTAGCACCTGTCATTTTTGTTTACATCCATCGTGGTTTTAACCCAGTTCTAAATACAGTAGCAATATTGAGTTTTTATCGATAAAGGACCGAATAGAAGGAGGTTAATTTTATTGGTCACGGTTCGGATTTTCGGGACCCATAATTTTTCTTTCGAATCGAACGGTCCCGCAAACACTTTACCCTCCTCTCGATTCAATATAAGACGTCTAAAAACCTCACCTTTTCGCCAAAGTGAGATTTGTAAATTTGAAAATACTTGGGTGTACAACAGCTGCTTACGAAATTAGTTCCTTCCTTAATGTGTAAACCGTTATATTACGAACGATGATATTAGTAATTTTGTTAGTAGGCACAGCCGGTGTACATTATAAATGTTTACTCACTGTAATGACTATGAGAGTACTTTGTAGCATAAATTAAAGCAAACTTTATGTATAAAGCGGCACTAGAAAAAAACAATAAAAGATAACTTTAGATAAAAAAAGAAAAGAAGTACCTAAAATTGTAAATAAACATCGGTTTTGGAATTATTATGACGATACAACTAAGCATGACAAGAATAATAAGTAAAAATGCTCTTAATAGGAGAGAAAACAAATGTGTATAGTATCTACACAATCATATATAAACTACATGTGTGAACGAACTCATTAGCCAAACTTAGTTAGTCTTAAACAACGAGACAGAGAGCTGAGAGACAAGTGCATCAGCGATCCGTCATCACTCTCGGTTATGGCCCCAACCATTTAGCAGACCGCGCCGCCCGCCGCGCCATTCAAAATATTTTCATTCAACAGTTGGAAAAATTATACGCAAACGTCGGAAAATTTTGCACGACATATTTACTTTATGAGTGCCAATAATATTAATTTAATGTTGCATTTATTTCGAACATTTGGTGTTTAAGAGAAATAGGTTTTCGAATGTGGTGGTTATTTTAATTGCTGTTTTGATTTCAATTACGACCTAAATAAAATGCGATAGTTAGTTACACGTGTACATCGTGGTATTTATAGGAAAAGTTTGTGAAACATTGTAGGATATCGTATTGAGAAAAACTCTCCGTTGTGGCCAATTTTATTCAATTTACGAGTACTATTCTAAAGTCAAGACATACGCGTGCAGGGTCGGCTCACACGACTCGACATCGTGTCAGAAACTGACTGGAATGGAATAAAATATCAATGCATTCGCTTTGCACAAACATATCGATGATCAGCTAGTATGTTTCTAAATGGATCTGGGAAAATCTGAGTTATTGTATGTCAATATACTACGTGACTATGATGTGTGATTGGGTTGAAAGCTATAGGAAGTTTATAATCATGTGTCCATATAAATTTTTCGAATCAATAATTCCTATATACTTTGCATTTAAAATGTTAGTTCTTCATTTAAAAATAACAACAATAATAGTTAGTTTTTACACTGATTAGATGCCAAACTTACATTTTGTAAGCGATTCTTGAAATAAAACTCCCATTTCCCTTAACACTGGTACAGCCAGGGAAAAGTGCGGTGTGTTAACCTGAATGATTTTTCGCTTTCATGATATGAATGGGACATTTCCACAGAAAGAAAGAGCGGAGGGTTGATTTACCGCCGCTGTATATGGGTGAGGTTCGTTAAATGATATGCAAACGTATATGTGAGTTGGTTGTTATAACAAGTCGTCAGGCAAGGAGCTGAAATAAACTGTCAGGAACAGGAGTAACCGAAACAATTTGTGATTTATTCTTATTCATTATCTATTGTTTGCATTATGCTAAAAGCTTTTATCCAAGTCCAGTATCGATTAAACTCTATCAGCATTAGTACCTTTTACTGAGTAGAGAGGTAATTTCCACATATTCTACGGTCGAATGATACGCAGCTGCGGTTTATTGCTGGGCCCGTTTACGAGCTCCTGCGATCTTAATAAACAGCACGCTTGGCTTGAGACCACTCTCAGCGCCATCTACCGTCCGCTCTCTGGTCGTTACCGCACATTTACTCTTCGGTTCGTACGTTTTAAAGTGGATTATCTTCGAAGACAGCGAGGGAATGTAGTGTGATTTAGGCACCTTAAAAGGGCGGTGCTGTACCCCGTGTTTTCTCCGATTTTCTATCTATAAAGCCGTTTTTGTGCGATAAATTGAAGATAGAAAAAAATGTTGAGAACGTTGACTTAAGATTTATCAACGTGTTTATTATTTTATTCAGAAAAATGTTATCTGAGGAATAAAATGTTGCTGTCACTGTCTTATACAAAGATTCTGACGCGACAACGTCTTAATTATTCCCTGTGATTATTCCCCAGGTAACTTTTATCTAACCATTAAAAAATCAGCCCTAAGACATTGTTTATTAATTTGTTAATTATTTTGAAAGGTTACAATTTCTAATTTTCTTTTTTATCCGTTTTTGCTCGGTTTATCATCTAAATAAAAGAATGGCAACCATTGTGATATTTGTAACGTTATTTCTTACTAAGGAATGGATTTAATAGTCCAGTAAATTACGAGTAAACCGTCCTAAATTGCGGATGAATGAGAGATATTCTGTAGAAGAGGGTGCCGACGAATCTTTGATATTTATTAATCTTTCGCGAATTCGAGATTCCTCTCCATTTCGAATTGAAGTTGGGGCTATTTATTAACTCTTACTCCTTAGTCGGAAGGCCAATTTGTATTATTGTTACGAAACACTGTTGTCTCTTAACCTTTGAAATATTTTGGTACTGGTTCTCAATGAAAATGTTAAAAAAATAATTCGATTTCGGTAATAGATGACACTTTATACAACTGCTTTGAGTACCTATTTAGGTTAGTTGAACCTCATAGATGTAAGTGTTAAAAATGGTTAAAGAGGCCGAAATTGGGGTGACAACACAAATTAGTTCATTTCAATATGCCATACACCAAAATGATGAACCGAAATTTTTTCCGCCTTTATTTATTATATTGTATTATGCCTGTTCTCTGTTTTATTACCATTCGTTAGCATTATCATCTTCAGTCTTTTAAGTTCCTACTGCTGAACAATGGTATTTTAATACACAGAGAAGGATTATACGTATAATAATCACCACGATACTTAAGATATGTTACTATTAATTATTGTTATTGATGATTAAGAGCGAGAGATTTATTTTAAGAAACAATGTTATAATTCAGAAGATGTTATTATTAATTTTTAGTATGTAAGGGCTATGCTTCGGCACAAATGGATCGAATCGACTGGAGTTACACCATGACCTCACAGAAAACCGGCGTAAAACAACCGAGATAATAATCCCTAAATCTTCCAAACCGTTATCCCCAAAGGTTCGCACATCACTCGTAACTCCTCTGTTGTTTCGAGTGTCGATGGGCGGCGATGATTGCTTACCATTAGGTAATCTGTCGGCACGTTTTCCTTTAAAAGGTAATGTTGAAATAAACTAACCTTTCGGTTGCTCTTAAAGACGTTGCACTTGAAGACATTGGTGGCGCCATCACGAGCGATGTAGGAGAAGATCTTCAAGTCGGAACTGTCATGAGACACGTAGAAGATGCGGTAGATGGGATGATGCATAATCTCGTCCTCCTTGATCGTTGTTGTAGTCTTACCACGGCCGAACAGCTTTGTGCTCGTCTGAAACAAACCAACATTTATGCTAAATTCCACAAGTATTAACAAAATTAAAACTTCAGTCCAACGTTTTGGTTTCAAAATTGAATGCAGTTTCTAAATTTTGTATGAAATGTAACTAAGTTAAAACGTTTCTGTTGTTACAAATATAATGGTCCTAAGAGCTTACGTGGTTCGGTATCTTGTCCATCTCTTTGTTTTACGATTTTAAGCTTCTAAAATGCTGACTAGAGTTTAATATTTACCCTTGTGTTTTCACATTCTACATGAGATTTAATCTAGATAAAAATTGCTTAAAAATAATATTCAGAGGTAAGTACAAAAAAGCAAGAGTTAGTTACAAAATGTAATTATTGCGATCACTTCCAAGTTACACAAGAACTATAAAAATAGTGAATGTTTTTAATAATTATCGGCTAAAACGCTTTAGCAATCCCAGTACATTTCTAGCTCTCCACACACCCTGAACAGTTCCTACAATAAATAACAATTTGTTTATGAACAAATTGCCAAGAAAAAATAATGTACAGTTTAATTTATAGGTACCAAGAAACATTGGAATGGATTTAGATTTCTTTAAAATAAGTATTTAAAAATAATGAAGTGTGGACCAAGGTTACCCTCCTTCAGGGGTAACAAAGAATCGATTGTACAATGGAAGCTGGGAGCGCCTCGGCTGTAGACAGCAGGTTGACAGGCGTCTATTATAACCTGACATGATTTACGAGCACCGAGAAAAAATCAGTGTCACCGCCGTCGCATGAGAGATAATTTAGTAATATGTCGTTATCTCACCCCGTCACACAGTAGATAATGTCTCCCAAAATCTATTGCAAAGGCCAAAATTTAATCCCAATTATTCCTCGGAAAAAAATCTTAATCAAGCCCTGATTGCTTTTAGTTTTTGACTGCCTCTTTGTACAATAGTTACACGCTATTTGCTCTAAACGCTGAACAAATTCCACCGAGACTTCCAACAATAGAACCCCAATTAGAAAATGACTCGATTAGCGCGAACAAAACGAGGGTTTCTGACGAGAATCTGAACGTGGCTAATTCTACAACACGAGCAAAAATATTTAACAAGACTAAAAACTTAGCTGCTTGATTCTGCAACAATTTTGACAAAATCAAATAAAATATGAAGAAATAAAAATAGTCGTTTGATTGAAGTATAAGTTTTCTACGTAAAGGTCTAACTAATTGAAAACAAGCAGGGAAATTTAAAAAATTAAAATATCATTTAAGAACGACACAGTTGGAAAGAATCGTCGTTCGTCATTGCATTGCATTTTTAAACAACTTGAAACTTTTTCTGTTTGAATTATTAATAAATGATTGGGTCGTGGAATCAATCAAACTTTTTAAAACACCAATTGAAGTTTTCCATTTATGTTGAGACCGTGTTTAAGCGAGCAAATGTAAATTGTCAGTTTCATGAATAAAATGCCAAATCAGTATTGAGTAATATTTTTTTTTAAACTTGAGATTGTACATACTAACATGAAACTGATTTATAGTTATTTCTGTGCAAAGCTATTATTTATTTATTTGGTGTCATACTGAGATCCCGGTTTGCACGACCCAAATTTCACATTGTCGGTTGTAATTATATTAACAACCTTACCGTTAATGTAACTTTAAGTGGGGTTAAAATATTCCGGAGACCGCTAAGGATACCTTTCAACAACAATACTAGAGCTATTATTTAATACAATACGACCTATTTTGTATTAAATTAATGCTAGTTGGGATTTTGTCTCACCATTTGACTTTGGTATGTTTGCTTCCATTACTATAAATTGATTAATAAATTGAACTAACCGCCATACTCAGAGTTATTTAATATTTACTGAACCCCATCCATGTATTTAAGTTTTTGGAACTAAATCGTCCCAAAAAATCCAAACTTAATATTATAAATGCGGTAGTAACTCTGTCTTTCTGTCTGTTTGTCTTTTCTTCACGCCTAAGCTACTGAACCTCTTTATGTGAAATTTGGAACAGACATAGTTTGGAACTCGAGAAAAGACATGGGATAGTTTTTAAACCTAGTTTTACAGGAAGTCACTATGACACGCGAAAAAAGTCGCGGGTAAAAGCTAGTAGTTTAAATAATCACAAAATGTCTATATGTAAGGCAGTTGTTGAGTCTTTAACATTCATACGATTGTGTTTGTAGTAGAGGCATAAACTGGCTTAATCTGTTTATTGAGTAATTATTATAAAGTAGAATTATGCTCACCTTGGTCTTACCAACGGTAATGTTGGTCCTGGTGGTCACCCGGACTCCATCAGTCGACACATCAACGGTCACCTTGCGTTTCTTCACACCCCTGGCCTTGAATTCGTACTGTAAAAATAAACTTCTATCAGATTGAGATTTAAGAGTAAATACAGGGTAATGTGGTCAGTTTCTATTATAAATTTCCTGCAAGATGTATTATTATTAAACATAATACGTTTAATATAATTCAAGTGTGGGAGAGCCATGTTTCGGCACGAATGGATCGACTCGACCGGAGAAGACCGGCGTGATAAAACCACAGCGTTGTGTTTTGCCGTGTGAGTGAGGTGACCGGAGGCCCAATCGTTCCCTTCCCCCAATCCCTCTACAACTTCTAAATCTCCAAATCCATTGTCCCCAAATGGTCGGTAACGCACTCGTAGCTCCATTTTTTTTACACACTTGTATTTTTTCCTTTATCGGGGATGCGGTTACGAACATACAATTTTACATACACATCACACCCAGACCACACAAGGAGTTGTTCCATGCAGGACTCGAACCCGCGACACGTTGCACGGCAGCCAGTTGCCCAGCCACCGCACCAACCGTGCAGTCAAAAACTCTGTTGTTGCGGGTGTCCGTGGGCGGCGCTGACTGCTTAAGATCAGCACAAGATCAGCACGTTGATTCTATAAAATTTGTTTGATTTTGAACCTTGTTCGAGTGTGAAGTGAGCGTCGAATTGACGCGAAAATTACGTTATAGAATGTCACTTTTAATGTCATCTTATAATTTATCTATCAAAATGTTGCGGTCGATTTAGTTCAACTCGCAACTCGCAAGTGTAGCGCTAGTGTACTATTACTCACAGCGGATTCAGATTCGAAGTTTAGAATGAAGTCTTACAGAATCACACGGCGGGTAATGTTTTGCCGACTTATCACATTAAAAATGTGGAGAAGAAAATTCCACATAATATATAACAAAGATATTTTTTTGTATCGTTTTAATTAAAGACCGGAATGAAAATCCTCCATTAATTTCAAGGGCTTTTCTTATAGAATTTGTCTAGTGTGTTTGCCGTTGTCACAATAAGTTTGTGACGAGGGTAACCAGAGTTTGGTTAGCTGGCAAAAATAACGGAACGTTTGCACACCGCATGGTCTTGGGTCTTAACCTAAATCAAAACATATTACCTCCAATTAGACGTAGACAGTAAATCTCCTAGTGTTGAAAGAACGGGTCATTGTTCGTACACCTTATTTTCTTTGTGTGAGAGGGCTTATTTTATTGATTCTATAGATGTATGTATAGTAGTTTATATTATATATGTTAGGTATGTATAGTAGGGGACAATGGAATGCGGGGGGTGATAATTGTATTCAGTGTCGTTATGTAGTAATGTAACTACTAAGATGAATTGATTTGTGCATCACTACATTACTTAAACAAAGTCGTTTTCGCTGCTACTATATCCCTATGTACGCTTAAATCTTTAAACTACGCAACGGATTTTGTTGAGAATGATTAAAGATGAAGGTTTATAAGTATATTTCATTAATTAAATATTGGAGGAAATTAGTATTAGCATTGCACCGTCGCTAATCTATAATATAAAAATGGATCGCAAAATGTGTTGGTAAGCGCATAACTCAATAACGCCTGGACCAATTTTGCCAATTCTTTTTTTGTTATGTTCGTTATTGTCAGGAGAAGGTTCTTATGAAAAAAATTTGAAAAGTAGAGGGGAATATCGGGAATTGACAACTCTTTCGGTGCCGGGGCCGGCCGTTCGCTTGCAAAACAAATGACGGACACCAGGGTACTGGTATGCCCGCCATGAAGCAAAGGCGATCCGCTAGTGTAAAATATAAATATCTAAAAAGTTTTTTGTTTATAACACGGTTATCTGTGTTCCTCATACTATGAATATACACGATACGATACATATACGAGTAAATAGAGAAAAAAATCTTGAAATACAGCACACCTCTAACATTTGTCCTAATGTTTGTCCTATTATTACAGAATTAATTTTTATGACCGCTATTTCAATGCATGTTTACTTCACGCCGTGAGCACCAAAATAACAAACGATACAGCGACACTTAATCTAACTTTAGAATTTCTAAGAAGTGTAATGGCACGTAAATAGCAACAATTATAATTATTTCACACACACACCTGTGCCTCTAGTATAATGTAATGGATTCGCCCTATTACTTACACACATGCAATATAATTTCGTAAAGGTAAAAGCTGTGAATGCTTATGTTGAGGAGAGGTGAGTAATTAAGCAAAGTGGCTCTTATTAAGAGGTATCAAAGTCGACTTGATAGATGCGATACACGAACTGCGCTTTTACCACCTAATTTTCCAAGGATTTGTATAATTTTTTACTTGAAAGTAGCAAGAGAACTTGACATTTTCTTCTGAATTGTACCTTACTTTTGACATTAAAAATCGATTATATGTTCATACTTATTTGACGTCGTGGTGGCCTGGAGGTTAAGGATCCCGCTTCTCATGCATGAGGGTGTGGATTCGAAACCTGGCAAGTACCAATTATATATACTTTCTATGATTATTTAAACACCACTGACATATGGTGAAGGTAAACATCGTGAGGAAACTGGACTTATAATTTCTAATTATAAGAAATCGCCAACCCGCATTGAGCAAGGGTGGTGATTAATGCTCTAACCTTCTCCGTATGAGAAGAGGCCTTTGCTCAGCAGTGGGCACTTATAGGCTGATGATGATGATGATGATGATGATGATATGTACTTATTTATGCAGAATACTGATAATCAACAAGTAAGCATAGATATATCACATTTATATCGTATTATTACACATGAATGAAAAAGGAATCTTCGAGTTAATCGAATCAGTATTTTATGAAGACACGAATGTTTTTATGATTACCGCGACTGACGTCACGGAGGGAAATTGCTCAACACTAACCTTATAATTGCTTTGCGCATTGATGGGTTGATCAATATATTAATGCAATGTTTTTTTTTAATTATTTATTTTGGGCTACACATGGTATCGATTCGATTATATCGATGAGGTTTTTAAAATTAGAACAATTTTAATGTGTTTTGTTGGTTGATGAAAAAGTACCTAATAGAATATTATTTTTTTCTATCGCGATATTTATCGACAAATGAGCAGACAGTTGATGATAGACAATCAGCGCCACCCAATCCATGGCATGGACACTCGTTGTACCAAAGGAGCTACTTCAAGTGCGTTGCTGGTCTCTTGTGGGTTATTAGGAATTTTAAGGGTAGTGGATTTGAGGATTAATGATATAGGGGAGGATTTAAGCCTCCGGTAACTTTACTCACTCGGCGAAGCACAACGTAAATGTTGCTTCACGCTGGTTTTCTGTGAGGCCGTGGTATCACTCCGGTCGAGCCGACCCATTCGTGCCGAAGCATGTATATATTATAACCTTCATAGTCCTCAAAAAATACTTGTTATACCTAGACAAACTTTAGGATATAAAAATAGAAAGAAAGAAAGAAAGAAAGAAAGAAAGAAAGAAAGAAAACACATTTGATCGACAAATAGGATTGTAACCTATATACCTGATACCTAAAACATAGCAAACTACAATCTAAGCAATCGGCAATTCTTGTGGAGCTAGCTCAGCAGTTGGCCTGAAACCGCACTTACGGAATAGTTAAATTCGCATAGTTTCAATTGTAATTAAATTAATACAATTCTCTGCTAATAAAACTTGCTGCTGTGAATTTTGATATATTGTTATAATAAAAGTTTTAAAACACGGTTTAATTGATTTCAACAATAAAAATATCATAAAGATACCGTAGGTAAACAAAAAAACATTTCTATCTTTTATATTATGTGTTATAAAACAAGGAGTTATTACTAAGATACTGTTGGATGTTTTATTATATTTTTGTGAATATTAGAACTATGTATATAAAGGAATAAATATATTTTTGAGTGCAGATGGTTTTAACAACAAAATAGTAAAAGAGGCATTCATGGACGATGTGTTTATTTTAATATTCTGAATAGTGTTTAAAACAACTTCCACATTTCAATAATTAGCAGCAGCAATACGCGTTGAGAAGATTTTTAGCGATTTATAAATAACACCGCTTATAATTCAGATACGACATCTATGTATAGCCATGTATACATATATACCTACAGCTCTACAATTTTAACCTCGAATCCCAATACTCCCAAATTTACTAAAACTGTAATTAGGTAGGCATATAGATACCTACTGAAAAAAAAAATCTTTGACATTACGTTTAATTTAGCTTCAATCGTATTATGTAGCGAATCGTGAAAACCAATAATAAAACCTTGTAAATTTTTAAGTGTGTATTTACAGAGGTAAATAAAAAAAAAATTGTATTATGACAATAAAGTCAAGAAGAAGTTCCAAAGCTACTGTAATGAGCAGTTAAACAAATTATCATCCAACCCAATCCGGCTTTTTACGTCTTATTTGCGTCGTACTAAGATACCAGATTAATTGGCATCACTACAATTTACAAACAATAATAGTACCTATTTTACATTCGACTAGGAGATAAAACCCAAATCAACACACCCTACAATAGGTAGCTGATTGTATACCATGCTGGAGTAATATAACAGAAATATGGTTTGGTGTCATGCATGCATAACAAGTACTACAAATGAATTGTGGCCGGCCTGTGGAATGACAAATGTAGCCAACAACCCAATCAAATAAACGGAAAACTAACCGATGCACGCTTGTTAGTGTCATTGTGTTTGACATTAAAAAGATTTCTAATCAACCACATTCACATATATATGTAACTCGTGGCACGTGTATGTATATTTCTGTATCCATGTATAAAAGTGATTATGTTATTTATAAGCCTCGCAAATTAAAAACGTATAAGAGAAGCGGGAAAAGAAGAATAATATTAGAACGCTTTCATACTTATTATTACTTGACAATTATAGAATTTTTCATCAAATATTACCAGTGCTCATTCTAATCCATTAATGTTAAGTTCGAAATCCCTGACTATATTCTTAAATAATCTTATGATGCACCTGTCTTGCTGTAAAGTCAGGTACACTCTCTCTGACTACTCTGCTTAAAGCAGCACGTCACGCAGTCAAGATACTTTCGAGTTTGAGCGTAAAACAAAATTGTATTCACGATGCTAAACTTAGCGAATTCAACTCAAGACCTTAGTCTCAGATTTTTTTATTTCACTTTAGGTACAGATTAACTTTCACAGTCTATTTTCTCTATCAAAAGTTTAAAGAAACTTTCAGTCGTTTTGTTACGTTCACGAATGGTCATGAAAAGGGAATTGCAAAAACTGTTCGTGAAGATCTCTCGGTACAAGTTTGCTCGCCTCCGATATTTGCAAGTTGATTCCCTTTTTTGCTTTGAAAAGAACTAGTGGTTTCAGTGGAAAAGTGAACTTTGGATATTAAATTCAAAAGCTTGAAATCGTTGAAAATTCACGAAGAGAAGCGATTCGCTTTTTAAAATTTGAAATATGTGCACAATTGGAAATATTTTAAAAATGGAACAATTTTAAATACAGAACATAAATAAAATACCTTCAAAACAATACGCTAGCAATGCCACAAAGAAGACAATAACACAATAAACAAAAATACATTCCAGTTCGAAATAGATTACATTACAAACAAAGCAAACTCGAGAAGTAATATAAAAGTTAAGAATTGCTCAAACCATTACCAAGCTACTTACATTGGAATGAGTTCGCAATATTAAATACAAAATTTTTGTTATTAAATTCGTAAGTAAGAAAAAAATATGTGCCTTAAGTGGGATGAAAGGAGAAGTCTATTGGAACAGGGGCGACAAATTACGCAAGGGGAAATATTGCTGCGTCTGTATGTACGTACACTTGCCCCTTTTCTACACGGCCTGAATGACAAACACAGAAGTGAGTTCAACAAACATTGTGGAAGTCTCCGCCTACTCTGTACGTTATCTACCTTAAACAAATGTCTTGATTAATACCTACTCATATTTTTATTTTCATTACTTTCTAGTTTACAATTTTTGCCTTTTTCCCATTCAAACTTTAAAAAAAATTTCATCATGGTAACCTTCAACTAACAATACCAAACACATAAAATAATAATTGTCTATTTTTTTCTGACGTTGTTGAGTTATGCAATTACGATTTTACATACATATATTGCAATTAAATTTCTTTTTACAGATTTTTAAAGCGCGGGAGAACCTTGTTTCGTCACGAATTTGTTGTCTAAACCGGAGTGATACCACGGCCTCACAGAATATCAGCGTGTAACAACCACAGCGTTGTGTTTCGCCGTGTGAGAGAGTTTACCGGAGGCCCAATCCTTCCCCTACCCCAATCCCTAAATCTCCAAATCCCTATAGGTCGGCAACGCACTCGTAACTCCTTAGTTGCAGGTGTCTATGGGCTATGGGCGACGCTGATTGCTTACCGATAGACGTTTGCCCAACCTATTAAATAAAAAATCGACTAAATCTAGATAGAAGATCCTCATAACTTATTTTTAATAGAAATACAGGTTGAACATGGTGTTCAGTATTATCATTAAGTAAGCATCTAGTCTTATTTTATTTTAAGGTGTTTTTATTTTTCAACACACTCGAGTAAGGTTGAGTGATGATTTTCAATATTGTTTATGTCGAAAATGTAAGCGCGTCATAAGTAACGGAGCTTAGAGGATTCAGTCGGCCTCGTATGGATTATGTTTCAAATTATTTTGGCTGCATAAATTATTTTTTAGGTCGCCACAGATGTTCCAGATTTAGAAATATTTTTACGAAACAAGAAATATGGATGTGTCGTTGAAAAATGTTACAATTTATTGTTACCATTTTTTTTCTTTTATATTTTTTATTAATCTGTCGCTATTTAGGTACTTAGTAAGTTTAGATAATCTAGGAAATGTTTAGTGTTAGTTTCTTACATACATGTCTGTGCGTGAATTTGATCGCTAAATCGTATTCTAAGCAAGATTTTTAATGTTTAGGCCTTATTAGCCTATAGGCTCTAATACCAGCATGTGCCTTAGGTATTGTATAATGTTGCTTGTGATATATTTTCTTGTTACAATGTAAAATTACCAACTAAGCTAGACTAAATCAATTTTATCGCCAAACGGTGGGTACTGGTGTCTCGTTCTGTTTGCTTAAGGTTACCTCTGAGGCCAATTACGTAGTTAGAAATCTCATTTAACTAATCTTTTGTTACAGATGATACGGATTTTCTCTTCTCCCTATCCCTGGAGATATTAATTACGATTCATACATTGCTAAAATTAGCTAATTCTAACTAATGGTATATTAAGGATATTAGGTAGTAGATGTCGCATTAAACTTGTGTATGGATAGTGAATATATGTAAGTCCCAAACATATTAATAAAATATAAATACCTTATTCATGTTAAAATTCTGTTCAGTAATATTGAACTGATACATCGATTACATTTGCATGAGCCAGTGAATAAAAACAAGTAATATTGGATAAATGTCGGCGGCAGCATAAAGGCATACTCACACGAACGCGTCGCATCGCAGCGACGATCTCGACGCGGCTGGTAGGGCGCGGCACATCCATTGTCCCGATGTACTGCAACAAAATAAAACATCACATTATACTAATGATCCAAATCTTTCACTCCCTCTAATTTACATAATCTTTCTGAAAAGTGTACAACATTAAACACAAACTGTGATACATTAACATTTCTCTTTTGTTGCTTAAGCGTTTTCGTAAAAACGATATTCGAAAATTAGCGAAGCAAGTAGCTCTTTAAAGTTAACTCAGTTAATTTTCAAATTAATAACAAAGCGAGCGCAGGTTCTCAAGAAAACGTAAACAAAAGTTTATATACAAATAGTTTAAAGTCAAGAAGTAAACTTGAAGAAAATATACAAAAACTTTGCGAACTCGAAACTCGTCGGAAGACCTAGCGCATATTGTGTGTGTTAGGGAGCTAATGATAACAACAACTATATTCTTGTTCTTTTCAAAACAAGGTTGTTAACATAATCATCAAATTGTTTTATGGTTGTCTTTAAATACATCAGTTCATGCTCTGTCTACATCATTATTTTAAAAAAGACCAAATTCGGCATTAAAAAGGCGCAATAAAATAGCCCTAAGCCAATCATAATTCATTGTAATTGAACACTAAAGTAAAGTATTTCTTTTGCTGCGATAAAGTGGCGAAATACCATCCTTTTTCCATATCTCAAATTGAATACGTAATTTGCAATAAAAATAGAAAAGGGTCAGCCCTATACTCATCCCGTTTTTTTTCGTGAAATCCAGAATTTAATCCTACTCAGTGAGGCTAAACGAAGACCTATCATAGTTTATGACAATTCGGCCTTATTGGAATAAGGCCTCTTTGGTCCGTGATGGACTAATTTTCGCAAAAAAGCAGCTTATCACTGCACTGAATAGAGATTCCTAAACCAATTACTTCTACGAAATAAGAAATCAAGTGGTTTCTGTAGAGTCTCTTGGCTTTATCAAAAAATTAAGGTTAAACCAAACACTAAGGAATGAGGGTAGAGGGAGGGAGAGGTACAAATGGAGGACGCGCTTGGTGCTTAGATTTGTATAAAATTCGGCTTTCGAGTCTTCAAATCGTCAGTGAGTGTCAGACTCTTACTGACTAAAATCCACCCCGCCCTTTCTTGTGCTTCCTGCGGTAAGTTCTTGCGCTTGCCACGCAACTACATATACATGTACATATCTTCACATAGGTACTTAAGTATGCGAGCGTCATAATTTAAAGGGATTACAACTTGGTCGAAACTTATGCGTGTTACAAAGCATTTTCTATTATCCGTCATGTTTTAATTTAAATCAATCCCTAACAATTGTCAGTTTGTGACGAATAAAACATATGTGATTATTTTCATTTAACACTAATTTTAGGGGCTTCAGACCTCAAAATATCCGGGGTTGCGGGGTAAGCGCAATGAGGCACCGCGACCTCGGCCCAGAGCAGGAGACGGAACGGGGGGTTTTTAGTCAGTAAGGGTTTCGTTCGTTTCGAACTCTCTCTCGCCTTACCCTGGGCGGGAGAAGTCATTGGATAATATACCCCTGACAAAAAAAAACTCAAAATACAACATTGACGAAAATTGTACAGAAAAACCTTTTAAGAGACAAATATTAGAAAAAAGAATTGCTCAATCGAAGAAATCGTGTTTTATTAAAACTGATCATTTCTCAGCAAAAGAGAAGATTAGTTCTGATAAAATTAAAACTCAATTATATCCTTCGGGGAGTGCATTCGTATCATAAAGTAGAACGTTCTAGAGTTAATTGATAGAATCATTCGATTGCAATAAAAGTACTACTCAGAGAAGTTTAAGAAGTTAATCGCAGCTCACTTGTAATAGATAGTCACTTTTGATTTTAATTAAGGATCTACTTTTTAATTCTTGCTACACTATTCTTTTATCTTAAGTTTCCGTATTAAAAGGATAAAATTGGTTCTCAATAACTAAGACTCCGCTCTTCATTTGTTTGTCCATCTGTATGCTAGCATGGCATCTCATAAACCGTAGTAGTTTTATAGATTACCATTTACATTTCAGTACCTATATGTTTCTGAATCAATTATACGTACATACATCACTTTATGACGAAGGATTTTAATGCGGTTTTATCGATAGATAGAGTGACTAAAGAGGAAGGTTAATTTGTATAATAACAACCATTGAATTGTTAAAAAATTTAGTATCAGAATTCCAGGAAGCCGGGGCGGACCGCTAGTAATACTGGGTGACTCTATAAGTTGTGTGTTATTATGAGCCTTATAACGTGTTTCAATATAGGTCACTAATTGCCAATCATCCTACCTATACAAAATTAAAATAAATATATGAAAATCATTTTTATTTGAAAATGGTCAAACAGTTTGAAAATGAACCCAATTGGTAATGACATTTACGATGACCAGATCAACGTGTCTGCCTAGTCTATGTTACATCTTATCTATCTCCAGCACAAACTGCGCTTGAAAGCCACGAATCTCTCCCAGATTGCTACCGTCAAGATATTCTGGGTGACCCGCCTGACTGCCTCAGGGTTATAGTTTCACGAGCTTGACCTCTTTGACTACCTTTGTGTACGGAATACGGAAAGCCTTTCATGGGTCGAGACTTAAGAATAAGTAACCCAAATTACTTCGAAATCTAGAACATTGGAGTTTCTTTAAATATTTAAAGAAAAAAAAATATAAACCTATATAGGTTTATATTTTTTTTTGGTACGGTTCAGCAAACCTGCTTCCGGATTACCTGATGGTAATCAATCAGCGCCGCCCATGGATACCCGCAACACCAAAGGAGTTAACAGTACGTTGCCGGCCTTTTAGGGTTTTGGATATTTAGGGATTGTTACGGAATGGGAGGAAGGGCAGCAATTGGGCCTCCTAAATCACACTAACACGGCGAAACACAACACTGTGGTTGTTTCACGCCGGTTATCTGTGAGGACGTAGTATTACTTCGGCCGAGCCTACCGATTCGTGTCAAAGCTTGGCTCTACCACACTTCAAATTTTAATTTAGAATTAATGTTTGCTATATTGCTTGAGAAAATCGTTTTAATATTCACACATGTTGTACAGACGAAGTATTCATTAGACTGATGTGATGTCTATTGAAACATGGTTGCTAATCCAGCATTCATCAGAGACTGCTAGAGAAACATGCTTGCTAATCCTAGCAGGAATGTCTACGTTTAGCAACGATACAGGATGTGAAATTAAATTCGCCTTTATTAGAGTAGTGATAGTCCATTCATGTTATACCTTATAACTAACTCTTATGTATTTATTATTTAGGGCTGATTTGGCAATGGTTAGATAAAAGTTACCTGGGGAATAATATGATGCTGTCGCGACAGAATGTTTGTATAAGACAGTGGTAGCAACAATTTTATTCGTCAGAGGATATTTAACTGACAATTAAAAATCTTAGCCCTTAGTGAATTAAATTTTATTAAAAAATCGTACCTTAAGTAGATACCTCAAAACAGACAATAATATTATTATATCTATTCTCGATGCCTCGATAAATTCGGGCGACAAAAAGTCAGAAATGTGAATGACGTAGGTATACCTACACATTATGTAGATAGTTAGTAGCCACATATTATACTTAGTTAAAGAGTTATATATTAATAGGTTTTGGAACTTGCAAATCTGTGTAACTAATTTTTTTTGCAATGGAGACTCAATTTATTGAGAAAGGCTGTGTAGACTTTAGAAAATGCTGTGATCAATCGCCGAGCAGAGGCTGAAACTGCGTAGGAGCAGCCACTTATCAATAAGTATATAAAAGGATACCAGGTAAAATCTTTGAATTAATAATTTGAAAAATTCTATTTTTGCCAAACTTCGTTCGCGTGGAATAGTGACTTCCTGCAGATTTTTGGTATACTTAACCATCTTTTTTTATTATTTATGCTTTATTGTACACAATGAAATGAAGTTGGTACAAAAGGCGGACTTAATGCCATATGGCATTCTCTACCAGTCAACCTTTGGGTTCGCCGCTTCGCACGGGTCCAACTACGCTATCAAAGGGTCACTTTTTCCTAATCTTCCCCTCTAATTTTTCTAATATTTTCTTTGATAAGAACCTACTCCTGACAATAATAAACACAACAAAAAAAGAGTTAGCAAAATTGGTCCAGGCGTTGTTGAGTTATACGCTTACCAACACATTTTGCGATCCATTTTTATATATAAATTTTCATATGCATTCTTAACATTGTCACAGAACCTACTTTGAGGTCCAAAGTATCATTTAAGTTCGCCACGACTTGTAAGACCAAAACTTTTCAATCGACTCACTTAACTACCTAACTAAATGCACATAAATCGTGAAAGTTTAAGATAGGTAGCTTAAATACTATCTAGCTGCGAATAATTTATCTTAGCATTTTTTATATTAAAAAAAAACCTTTGCCCCCACGTTACGATTTTCTCCTTTGTTGTGGGTGCATTTACAAATATACAATTTTACATCACATTATACCCAGACCCGTGAAAATGTTCTTAATCTTAAAACTAATTAGAACCTTGATGATTATTTACACTCTCATGTCTTAACTTCTTTCGTCAAACAAAACAAGAAAGCAAAGCGTATGCAAGATAAAATGTGTGCGGTCGGCGAGCAAGGGTAGTTTTCTGCCCGACCAGATAAAGGACCAGACATAGAATCAGACTGAAAGAGACTAACACAGATGGGGCCCAATAGGACTGATGGTTAGCCGGGGTTGAAGGTCAGGTGCAATAAAGCACCACAGATTCGGCCTGGAGCAGAAAAAACGGAGTGGTTGTTTGTCAGTAAGAGTTTGATACTGACGCCATATCCTGGACGAGAGAAGTAATTTGATGATATTTTTCCTCCCCAAAACTAAGGTAATAAAAACATAGCCAGGAAGTCATATACTATACTACTACTATCAATAATGTACCTATTATAATTGACTAGTTAATCCCGCTGCTCAGTACTTATGTCAAATAGCTTATTTCGATTAATTTACTATTCAACACAAAAATAATTGTTCAATTTAAACTATTTG